GAGGTGAGGCGAGGCGAGGCGGGACCCGGGCCGGGCCGGGGCGCCTTCGCGGGGCCTGCCCGTTCGCGAACTCACTCGCGGCGGCCGCGCCGACACGACACGACACGACACGACACGACACGACACGACACGACAGGCGCGGCGGGGAGGCCCCACGGCCGCCTTAACGGCTTTTCTGCGGGGGGGGGAATCGACGCCGGAGACGTGGCATGCAGGCCCGCGCCTGCGCAGGAAGCGGCGCCCCGCGAGGCGTCCTGGGAGGTGTAGTTCTCTCCTCTTACCTGCCTTTCCCACCTGGTGGGAAGGGCGTTGAGGGGTCTGCGGGGGAGGCCTTTCGCGGACGAGGGGGTGGCTTGGGGTCCGTGATAGGGGGCAGGGTGGTGCAGCGGTGGGGGTGTCCCCCCCCCGCTCCATGGACCCCTGTCCTCTCTGCTGTCATGACCTGCAGGTGGGCTTCAAGTGGCGGTCATCCAGGGGCTCATCCCTGCAAGTCCCATCTTCCCGCGCCATTGGCTCTGCTGGCTGGTGCTCATGGGACTTCGAGTCCCAAACTTGAAGGGCCGCAGCTTGTCCAACCCCTGCCCGGTTGGCTGTTGCAGGGATGCTGCAGCAGGAAGGACCGACCTTCCCCAGTCTCATGGGGGCGGGAGGTCTCCAGATGTATTGGATTGCAAGTCCCATAATCCCACAACCAGGGATTCTGATAGACTCAACAGGCCTTTGGCAGGAAAGAAGTTCTCTACTTGTGCTTTACTTCTTCAAACAGGAAAAGAAGAATCTGCCTTCTCGCCCTTTCAGCAGCCGCTCAAGAGATGTGGCAGAGGGTGGATTGTGCACGTCGCTGCACAGTAAATTTAATGTCAGGTTGTAAAAGCAGTCATGTGGGCACATGGTCCTCTGATGCTGTGATCAACTCAGGCTCTTAGGACGGGATAGAGCGGCTGTTTGTGACAGACGCAGTTGTCAGATGCACCGATGCCACGGAAAAGCAGAAGGAAGTGGTGACCCACAGAGCCAGTGTGCAAAGGCATGTGCGGCCCCCGCGTTCACAGTCACTTTGGGACCTGATTTGCACCCCCTTTGCTGGTGCATTCCTGCACCTTGGAAAACCCAGTCTGTGCAATTCTGCGACAGAGGCTTGGATTCTACTTCATGTACATCCTGTTAGCTTTTAGACCAATTCTGCCTTTAGCTGCCCAGTCAAAGTTGGTGCATTTCCCCCTCCTCTTTTCTTTTTGCAAAGCTCTGTCGCGGAAAAAAACATGATGGAAGAGAGCGGGATAGAGACAACTCCCCCCGGAACCCCCCCACCAAGCACAGCGGGGGCTGCTCCTCCCCCCAGCCCTCCTGTCTCACTAGGTATGTGTGCTTTAGACGTGATGGTCTTGCTTTCGTTGGGCGCTGAAGCTTGCCGCCTTGTCCGAGAGAAGTGATGAAATGTGGGTGCTTGGAGCAGAGCTTCATCGCGTGCTTTGATGGGGGAAAAGCCATGCTTTTGCTCCCCAGCCAGGGAAAGGCGAGTCAGTCCGACTCCTCAGAATTCGTTCTCCCAAAAGCCCCCTGCAAGAGTTCAGGGCAGAGCTCAGAGTCCGCTCTGGACTCACCGCATTTCAGGATTTAAAGATAAGCGAGAGCGCTCTGGAACCCAGCTGGAATGTCTGCCGCTCCCTCGTTGCGAATCCGTTGTATTCGGATGACAGATGGACTGCGATACTCCCGACGGGTGGAAGGAAGATTCCAAACATGTCGTGAGCGGAGCCGGCTGGAGCCGGGGGTCAGACTAGATGGCTCGGGAGACCCCTTCTGACTCGCTCTGTTTCTAAACACCCCACTCCGGCAGTCCGGAAACAGTGCCTGCGTCCGTACAAGCAACAGGCCAGAATCCTGAGGCAGGCGCCTTCCTCCAGCGCTGCCACGCGGCTCCTCCCCGCGGCAGGAGTGGCTGAACCAGGCCAGAAGACTCCTGGGGGAAGGGGGCTTTGTGTCCATCCCAACCCGATGCCCGGCTTGCCATTAACGAAGGAGTCGGCGGGTATGGCCTTCCGGCATCGGGAGGACCACGCATTCCCCACCCTTGTGCTGTGGATTGTGGATGCAAGCCTTACTCGGGAGTTCAGGAGGCCTCGTGAGGGCACGGCACAAGTAGGGGGTCCTCCTGACCCCAGATGTGTTGCCTGGCCATGAGCAGGCCTACAAGCCTCCGCGTGACTCAGAGCCCAGATTGTGGGGGGATTTTGCATGCTGGGGGGATTTCCAGGGCCTTTCCGTTTACCTGGGTCTGTCTCGTGTTGACGATATGCAGACGGCTAATACACCTCTAGTAACGGCACCCTCCTTTCCTGTTCCCTTCTTGGCCTCAGCTTTACCCAGACCTCCCTCTGCTCCAAAACTCCCCCCGCCCTCCCCTTTCCCCTCTCAAACGTTCTCCTCGCCTTTGCCTCCCGCAGTCTCCTCTCTGCCCCCCGTGACCCCCCCAGCAGCTTTGCCCTTTGTCCCCTCCGCTCCCATTTCTACAGGTGCGCCCCATGGAACGCCTGCCTCGCCTGCTGTCCCGCCTCCAACGGCATCGGCTTTTAGCAGCCCCGTTCCGCAGTTCTCAGCCCCGCCACCACTAAGCTCGACTCCTGGCCCCATTCGTTCTGCACCTCCCACCGGGCCCCCGATCTCCGGGTTCTCTGCTGCTTCCACCTACGACATCACCAAGGGTCACGCCGGGCGAGCCCCACAGACGCCCCTGATGCCGTCCTTTTCAGCACCTGCAGTCCCAGGTAACGTGTCCCAAATACATCTGCAACAGCCATTTACCTGTCTTGGACATTTTATTCCCTGGGAAACCAGTGCTAATTCTTGAACAAGAAATGCTGCCCAAGTCTTGGCTGCTTAGGGTGGGAGCACCAACACGCTGAGGCAGAGATAGGGTCCGCACCGCTTGGCTGAGGAATGCTGGGAGCTATAGAAGCCTTGTGTGTGTGTGTGTGCGCGCGCGCGCGCGCGCGCACTTCGGGCCCAGTCCTTACCGTTCTGGGGTCTACTCTGTCCTCCGTGTATGCACCCTTGCGCAGCGCATTGAACTGCGTGTGGAAAGCACTGCCTGGACAGGTCAGCACACGAGGGGACTGCCCGAACGAATGCCGTGTTGGCTGTAACCGAGGTTCCAGATTGTGTCGCCCCGTCACGTAGCCGTCGCCTGTTTTCTTCCAGGTGTCTTGACCGCCCCGGCACTGCAGCAGGCCTCCGTGCCATCGCCGTTGGGAGCTGGCCTTGGAAGCGTCTCTTCGATCACCTTCCCGGAGGAACACGAAGCCCCTGGGGCTGTTGGCGTCTCGAGCGACACGGCCGCCGGAGGACTCTGGGGCTTTATCAAGGCACGAGGTTGATTTCTGGCGGTGATGCCAGAGGAACCGCCCCCACCCAGCTGGAAGGGGGCGGCCCGTTGGAACAGCGGAGGTGTTTGCGTTGCTCTTTTCGCCCTCCTGCGTCCCACCGGCTGCCCGGCCTTCTGCGTCACTCAGTGGCGGGTCCTTGCGCAGGATGCTGAGCCGGAGGTGCTGGGAATCCCAGCTTATTGTTCCTGTGCAGCACCCAGAACGGTGGCGGGAGCTGCTAGACCAACCAGGAAAGTGTCGGGGGGAGGAGAAGGGAGCACAGCTGCCCAGTCGAAGGACGGCAGGATCCCCTGCGGCAGGACAGGGGCCGTAGTTTCAGGAGCGGGAGAAGCAAAGCGAGCCTGGCACTGTGCGTCTTGTCCTGCAGGGTGTGGCTGGGAATCCCGTGGTGAAGTCGGTGCTCGATAAAACCAAGCACTCGGTCGAGACGATGATCACAACACTGGATCCTGGCATGGCGCCGTATATCAGTGAGTGGTGCTTGTCAGTGTGGACCCGTCTCCCACAGCCTGATCCCGTGCGTCTGCGTGGCACTGCAGCTCGCATCACGCACCCCGGACTGGCTGCAGAGTTGGGCAGCATTTTGGAGTGGGAAAGTGTGTATTGTAAGCCTTTCAAGGGGGCCTTTGGTCATGGGGTGGTTACATTCCTGGTGCCAGCGCTGGAATTTCAGCTGCTGCCATAGCAGGAAAGACAAAATGGCCTTTTTGGTCCAGTAAAGATGGCCAGTAGCACCATTTTTGAATCACGTGGTATATTAAAATCACCCTGTTGCAGTCACTGGGACAGTCATTTCATGTTCCTGCTGCGTGTGAAACTACAGGCCAGTTATCAGGATGTGAATGACCCTTCTGTCTCCCAGGCTTGTGTATTCCCTCCCCTTCTTTCCTCTTCCTGCACAGCTGGGAAGAGAAGTTCGGAGGTTTCCCCTTTCGAGTAACTACAGCTTGCTGAATCGTCCACTCACGGAACCGCGGTTAATCTTAGTCAATTCCTGAAACGTGCATGACATTGCTTTATAGAGTCAGGAGGAGAGCTGGACATCATTGTCACCTCCACAAAGGATGTCAAGGTGGCCGCAGTCAGAGAAGCTTTCCAGGAAGTTTTCGGAATGGCCACCGTAACCGGAGAAGCGGGCCAAGCCAACATCGCCCCACAGCCCGTTGGCTACGCAGCCGGCTTGAAAGTGAGTGGGAAAATCAAAGGATTGGAGCATGTTAGAAACATAGAAACAGAGTGAGCCAGAAGGGGCTTCCTGGGCCATCTAGTCTGACCCCCGGCTCTGTCCGCATGTTGCAGTGCCCAAAAGGTGGAGGTGGAGAGTTCAAATCGTGGGTGTTGTCCCAGGCCCCTTTGGTTAATCTTGAGCAGCAAGAGCTGCCGTGGTCTGTTCTCTCTCCTCTGCATTGTGTCTGATGCTTTCCTCCTGCTCATCTCATCGTCCTGCAGGGAGCCCAGGAAAGGATCGACGGCTTGCGCAGGACAGGCCTGATCCACGAGAAACAGCCTGCTGTCTCTGTTGAAAATTTCATTGCAGAATTGCTTCCCGACAAGTGAGTCGCTTCAGTGTATTGCTCAAAATAAAGGCCTGTTCTGTACTGCACAAATGCAGTTCCTGAAGTGCCGATATTCTGTACTGGAGGTTAAAAAAAGAGGTTTCTGCCTGTTGGAGTCTCAGTGTTGTCAGGCCAGCTCGTTAATACCTGGGCATTAGCATTGGGTCGATTTAATTTGATAAATGATTCTCTGTCATCCCAGGTGGTTTGACATTGGCTGCCTTATCGTGGAGGATCCAATCCATGGCATTCACCTTGAAGCATTTACACAAGCAACTCCAGTGCCTCTGGAATACGTACATCAGGTGAGCTTTTCTCCAAGAAGTCCGATCCTCTACGGACTAGAAGCCAAAAACCTTCGAGGGCCACCCACTGAGTTCTACAACACCTTAGAGCATGCCTGCCTTCGAGGTTCTGGGCTCGCTGTGCCTGCTGCCTGCCTCGTCCCGCGTGTGTGCAGGGAGGCGGCAGCTTGCTAACGCGGAGATTGCATTGGACTTGCTCGGAGAAAATGATCTCCAAGCGAGCACGCCTCCCCTCCGCACGCCCGCGCGCCCCGCATCTAGCATTGGGGGGAAATGTTTGCCCATTTATTTCTGGAAACGAGTTTGTTGCCCTTAGACAACTGGCTTTGCAGTATAGGATTGTGTTTAGGGGAACATTCCAGTGGTGGGTGGGAGTGAAGGTAAAAGGGCCAAAATACCCACCATTTTTATCTTGAACGTCTTGCCCACAGCCCAAGATAACTCAGTTTCAAATGAGGTTGAAGAGGCCGGTGCATTTACTTTCCTGAAATTATTCTGCAGGCTCAGAGTTTGACCCCTCCAGATTACAACCTAAGATGGTCGGGCTTGCTGGTGACGGTGGGAGAAGTGATAGAGAAGAATTTGCTGCATGTCAACAGGACGGACTGGCACGTCGCATTTACCGGCATGTCCCGCCGACAAATGATCTACAGCACTGCCAAAGCCCTTGCGGGAATGTACAAGCAGCGTTTGCCACCGAGGACCGTTTGATGGGCGACTCACCTCTTAGCACCGCAGAAGACTCACTCCATAGCCCGGGGCTGAAAAGAAGCGGTCGCATCTTCAGTAATTTCACCTCTCCTGGTGCGGTTTGGCTTTGCGTTTTGTTTGTTTTGTTTTAAAGGCGAAGGTATCGAGGTGTCCTTCGGAGAATGGAAATGAACAATTCTTAATTAGTTCACCTGATCAAACAATTGGGAAAACTCTAAAAACGAATGAGCAAGCGTATTTCTTGCACAGTTAAAAAACGGTTAAAGGGATGGGATGTGGTCTTCCTTTCAAACACTAAAGAGACGTTTGAGACAGTCAAGATTTCTTAAACGGGCATATTGCGATGTAATTGTTGCTGCAGAAATTCCTTCTTCGCTGCAGCGAACAATGGACTTTTGGGAGTCCAGGCGAACGGACATTCCTCCCTGTTGCCCGTTCACAGGAAAGGGCGGCAACACGTGCGCTTGGCTCAGGTGCATGCAAATGCAGCTAAAACAGTTGTAGGGGGATCTTATTTTATAGCCAGAATGTGCCCCAGAAAGCAGCTAGCAAATAAATGCCTATCTCTGCAGTCGAAGGACACACCACCGTAACCATTCTTAGGTTACTTTGCATGTGTCATAAGATAAAGGGCATTACCGAATAGTTGAAAATGCAGGTCTAAAGGACAGATATTTAAAATGTTAGTCTGTATGTTAGTATAAAACAGCGTATTAGCTGCTTCGTTTGAGCATTATATAGGCCCAGTCCCTCTAAAATTAATGGGAAATGAGTTATATTTAGATTATGGCACTATATGATAGTTTATGCAAGCATCTCTACAGTATGGTTCAACAAAGGGCAATCCTATGCATGTTTGGATTGAAAAAAGAGCCCAAGGCCTGGCAGTGAAATGCTAGGAGGCCCTGGACTCCTTTCTCAGGCTCAATATCCATCCCGCATCAGCTGGAGTTTGGTAGCTTGGAAGATCATTTTTGGTCAATCATTTTCTGTCTACCAGCAGTGGCTCTCATTGCCCCAAGAAAATGGCTGGGAAATTCGTAAGGTAAATTCTATTTCCCAAAGCAGCCTTCTGCAGTCTGGGGCCCTCTAGTTCCATCAGCCACAGCCTGTTGCTGGCTGGAGAAGGCTGTTCCAGAGCGTAAAAGATCCCTGCCTTTCCATGTGCTGCTTTTCCTCCCTTTAAACTTCTGCCCCGTCTTCTGCTCAGTCAGTCTTTATTCATATTTATAAGTGACTATGGAAGAATATTTTGATAACCTTTAAGAAGAGAAATTAGCTTTCTGCCTTAAATAGAAGCTTCTCAATTTCTACTACTTGGTCTATCTTTTGTAGATGCTTTCAAAAGACACTTTTGTATAGACTATCTCAGTAGCCAGTTTCTTATATTTCTAACCAGGGTAAAAAACTGTTGTTTTTCCAAGTAATCTGTTTTGCTGTCCTTGGTTTACCTTGTCAAGTCAGAATAGATATTACTCTTGTAGAACAGTCACCTCCCCCCCCCACCCAACCTTTAGAGTCCTTGTTTAATACCTGTTTTATCACTGGTCCTTTTCAATATATTTGTTTTGGTTAGCCATAGATTAAGACTGCGATTCTGCAGCAGCTCAGCCAGCATATCAAGCTGTAGGATTTGCAAGTGTTTCCTCACAGAAGAAAGCGGATTCCTCCATGGTAGAACAGGGCAGGAAAGGGTGGATCTGGGAAGCCCTGAATCTTCTAGATCCAAAGTCCTTTTGTTCCCAACAGCTCCTGAGAAAAGATGAGGTATGTCTTCTATTAGTGAAAAATTACAAAGGCCTGAAAACCAGAAAATTTGCCTCTTTGTTATCTTGCTGGGCTTAGCAATTGTCAGTTCTTCCACCCAACTGCCCTACTATTATTGTATGAAGGAATGTTAGAATTCTTGTTTTATTTTGTGGCATTTATGCAGGAAAACCCAAGCCAGAGAAGATACAGAACAAATTTCTTTATTCACAGTCACCCTGCAAAATCCTATGTTTTATATTACTTGTCTTTTTCTTGGAAAATCATAAACGGGGGGGGGTGCATAGAATGGCTGATGTCCAGTCAAGCCTGTGAGATGCCAGAGATTGAACTACAATCCCATCATCCCCCACTTGGCCATGAGTACAACTGGTGGTCCAAATTGCAAGGACCGAAAGTGTCCATCCTTCTGAAGGCTATTCTCTTACAGCTTAATCGTTATTGTCACTCTGGAACAATCTGGTGGCATGGAGGTATGTGACAATCTCTGTGTGGGTCCAATAAAGCAATGCCATTCACGTCTGGTGTCTCCATTTTTGGCACTACAAAAAGGCAGTTTGGAAATTGATTCCTGGATGGGTCTAAATATAAATGCATAGTGTTTCTCCCAGACGAAGATTGTCCTGTGTTTCTTTGGAGGAAGCTAAGAGGTTACATAAATACTTTTCTCTTTCCTGCCTATCACATTACGATCTCCCTTCATGCTTTTTTAAATGCTTTTTGGAGGGGTAGCCAACCTAGATTTTAAAAAAAACATCCTGGGGCATTTAAAGATCTATCATTTTAGACTTTACAAAGAGTAAGCCAAAAGCATTTGTCACATGTTTCTCAGAGTGATCTGCTGCTAGGCCCTGGGTAGCGCGCATGCACTGGAACCTCCAGTGAATGGCCCGGAAAGTGCGATTCACCGTCAGGGTGGAAAACAACCCAGATCTCTCCAGTGCCATTAGTGTCCTGAGCAAGCCAAAGGTCCACGCTTCCATCACACGGGAAAACCTGCAGTTCAGACATCAAAGACAGCTCAGATTTGGTCACTGACCTTCCTCACCAACCCAGCCAGAGCTTGAGCAGCTTAGGCAGAAAGGGAGAGTAAAAGGAGAGGAGAGGAGAGACACCGTTGCATTGGCGGAGAGCAAGCACACCGCAGGGACTTGAACCCCATCCTGGAACCAGGAGTGCCGGCCACCGGTGTCTTTTGCTTTTTTTCTGGCAATGCAACAGGGAGAAAAGCAAAACCTGAGAAAACACGAGCGTGTTCTCTCAGGAAAAGAAAAACCCAACGGTGTGAGATGAGTTCGAACTCTGCTGCACAGAGCTTCAGCTTCTGACCACTCCGAGTGCGACCTGAAAGATTCTTAGCACAAGGTCGCAGACACCCTCCCCAGCGCCACCTGCCCCGGACACGTCGGCTGAAGCCGCACTCCCGGCCTGCCTCCCGTGATGCGCTCGACCCTCAGCAATAGACAGAGAGCAGAGCGACTGCCCGGGGCGCCTCTCTCGGCTTCGCCTATGCATCCCCTTGCTGGGCCTGCTGGGCTGGATGAGCCACTCCTTTGGGCATTTGCAAGCGCGTCCAAGCCGCAGTTCTGCCCCCTTGAGTATTGCCGACCCATGAGGACACGAAGGCAGCATGAAGCTGGGCTTTTAATGGGGCAGCCGAGGCTCTGTAAGCACTTCCGGCCTCTGGCCGCGTGGCCTGGATGTAAAATATTTGCTTTTCGGCGCCAGGCCAAGACCTTTTTATTTAAACAGCATTTTAATTGTTGATTTTATTTATTGATTTTAACAACTTTGGCCAGGATGTCTCCAATTGGCTTTTATTGCATTAATGATATTTATTTATTTATAAGCTGTCCTGAGGCTTAGGCGAATGGGGCAGCATATAAGTCCACTAAATAAATAAAGGATGGATGGGATTCAAGTAATGCCATTTTAGCAGCAGTTGTCGGCATGAAGCCGGGTCAGCCATTTTAATCCTCGGAGGCAGAACGGGGAGATATTTACGTCTCCCACTAAACTTCCCAGGTTTGTACTTGGCGTGGAGAGAGAGAAAAAAGGATGATTCACCTGTGCTTTTGTCCACTGACGTGTGCATTCGTGTGGCTGGACGCTCCTACTGATCTGTGGAAAGCAATCTAAAGGCAATGGAGCCCCCCCAGCCCCCCGCAAAGCCATACAAGAGGTAGAGACGGGGTATAAACACAGCTATTCTTACTGACATGACTTCTGGGGTGGATGGTGAAGCGTTGGCTTTGTTTGGGTGTCGTGTGCTCTTGAAATGAACTGTTGAAAGACCAGAGAGAGGAGAGACCCACACAAAAGCATTGATTGCACGGCACAAAGTTGGTCGCTAATTGATGGAATGTGGTGTCTACTTGCCAGTTTATTTCTCCAAGGTTTGCTTTCTGAGTCAGATTTGAGTTGCATCTGGAAGAGACTAAAGGCTTCAGTGCCCCCCTCCCGCTGCCAGAGAGAAACAACCAGGAGGACCAGTTACCTAGAGCGGCACAGGCAAGACTCGCACATGTGTCCCAGTCACACGGGCCATTTACCCGGGAGGATTTCACCAGACGACTCAAGAGCGCCTCTCAACCCACAGGCATGTCTCACTCAGCGGTATTTCTCCATCAACAAGCACTACTCCACACACGAGAAAAGCCGATTCATAAACTCTATGCAAGCAGATCAACACATTGCATCGCATTACTTGCCAGCTGAACAGATCTGCTGCAGACACGGTTATCTCTGGGAGGTCTGTAAAAAAAGAAGAGCTGGAAAAAGGTGAGCCCCCCTCCAGCCCCACGTGTCAAAAGCACCCGTTGCGCTGGCGTGTCTGGGTAACTCACTGCAGAGGAAACTCCTAGTTAGGTGTATCCTAATTTTGTTGTGAGAAACTATTTCATATTTCAAATGAGTAAAATAATCCATTTTCATCAATTCTGCATGCATCTCTTTTCCCTCAACACCCTTTTGATACACAATTGACTCTCCAAGCACTTTTAAAGTACAAATACTTAATTATCAAGTGCTTTCTTCAATTTTCTCTCAATAGCCTTTCAGCAGAAAGATACTGTCCCTCCTAGCTATTTAAATATTTTGAATTGTTACCCCAACTCATTCTCATTCCTGAAATATCTATGTTTATCTTGGTCCATGTATTACTTGCTTATTCTTTTAAACCGTTTTTAAAAGGTTATTAGAATAGTATTCCACTCCTTAATTTTTAGTTTAACTCCTGCTGATAATTTTTTTGGACTTTTTAAAGACCCATCATCTCTCTCTCCATTTTTTTTTCTGAGTTTGCCTATTTTCTTTCTATGCCCTTGCTTTTCAGATCCTTTTAAAGGACCAATCCCTCATTAGCCATGTATTTTTAAGTTTCTAAAGTCGGACTAGCACTTGAATCTCCTCAGTTGTCTGTTAACTATACGAAGTCTAATGCCCCCGCTCAACGCTATTTCACGCAACTAGAAGCACGTCGCAACCGCCACCCGCAGAGCTGACGGGCGACCCGTTGGAGACCCATATTTATAACCTGGGGTTACCTCACTCCTTGGAATGTGCCCAATCCTTCCGCCAAGGGGGTGATATCATAATACCGAAACATAGTTCCGTCAGCCTTTGCACCAAAGGTGGAAATATATCCGCTCGGGGAGCAATGTTCTACTACGCAAAGTCCGGCAGGAAAAAAAGCTCCCAGCATGCCCCAACCAACTGCGCATGTTCAGAAAGGAAAAAGGCCTACAACTCCCAGCATACCCTGCAGAGCGCTGCTTAAATGAAACCAAAGCAAGCAAAAGGCTTTTGAAATAATAAAATATAAAATAAAATAAAATAAAATAAAATAAAATAAAATAAAATAAAGACTGTTGAACTGGGACTCGAGAGATCTGGGTTCTGCTTCCGTCTTTGGGCCAGTCACTCAGTCCAGCCTACCTCGCAGGGTTGTTGTGAGGATACAATGGAGAGAAGGACCTTGTACGGTGCCAAGGGTCGCTTGCAGGAAGGTGGAATATATATAGCTGCAGGATAACTGCAGTAATAGAAGTGTTACATCGACACACAAAGTGTAAGATAGACGCAGTTCCTTCCATTTTGCAGAAAGCAAAATAGATTAAGGTAATCATACCTAGAAGCCTGATGAAATCGATCTCTGGTTCCGATCTCTGGTTCCGGGAGTGACAAGAGATGCACGTTCCCAAGCCGTGCTTTGCTTTTGTGAACTTGCGTGCATATTGCTTCTCTTTCTCGCTCTCCGTGCAAAAACCGAAAAAGCAGCTGCGGGGATGATGCTGAGACGAGGAGGGCTCGTCCTCTGTTCTCCCCCGCCGCCGCGCCGTACACACGCACGCACGCTCCCGAGTCACGCTCCGCACGTGTGAATGCCACCCCCGCGCGCCGCGGGCACTCTGCACACGCTCGCGGGCGCCCTCTCGCCAACTACTTCCGGGGCTGGGAAGCGGATCCGGGGCTGAGCCCGGCGACCGTGCGACGCTTCCTTTCTCCTCCCTCGCCCGCTCGCGGGGCAGGCGACGTTTGCAGAGCCGCCCGCCGGGCCGGGCCGGGCCGGGCCGGGCGCGGGGCCGGGGTCGCCCCTGCCCTGCCCTGCCTGCCCTCCCTCCGGCAGCAGGATGTGGTTCTTCTCCCGGGACCCGATCCGCGACTTCCCCTTCGAGGCGGTCTCCCCGCCGGAGCCGCCGCTGCCCCTGCCGGGGGGCGTCTGGCAGCTGCACCGCGGCAGGAGGAAGGTCCGTGCCCGGCGCCCGCGGGCCGCGCTGCGCTGCGCCTGGTGCGGGGGGGCCGCCACGGGCGCCCCCAGATCCGCCCCCGGGAGCGAGGCGATCGCCGGATCCCGGGGGTGCCGGGCCGCCCGGGAGGGGGAGGGGGCTGGACGGGGCGCCGGCGCTGCCCGGCGGGGCAAATGCGGGCGGGGGCGTGTTGGCGGAGCGGGGGGCCGCGTCCCTGCCGCACGGGCCGAGGTCCAAGCGGGCGTCGCAGCCACGGCGCCTTCCGGCTGAGAGGGGCCGGGGGCCCCGACTCGCGGGGGGCATAACGCCCGCGGCAGCAGAGCGACAGCCTTCGCTCGGGGAAGCGGCTTTTGTTTGCACTGCCACCGTGGCGCCTGCTCGCAAGGAGCCCGAGCTGGCGCAGCTTCCTGAATGCCTGGGAAAAGGAAAAGGAAAAGGCGCCCCCCCGCCCGAGCACTTGGGGAGGGGGCTGAGTCCTGTCGGGAACCCAAGTCAGCTTCCATTCCCTCTCCTCCTCCTCTCGGTTTTATCCGCACGACGCCCCAGCGAGGCTGGGACTGGCCCCGAAGGCACCCGGTGGGTCTTACGGCTGAGTGGGGACGACAGCACGGCTCTCCCCGGCCCCAGTCCAGCGCTCTCCACGCAAGACCAGCCGCACTGGTTCAAAAGGGCCGGGGCAGAGACCCGGCGCCGCTCCTGTGCCCGTTGGACAACCGCTCTGGCGGAGCTGCGGCTGCTTTTGTGTCGCCGCTCTGCCCGCGTTGCAGGAATATTGCAGCGGTCCGGTCATCGCCGCCGTTGCGAACCTCCTGGCTTTCCAAATCCAGGAAGATGGAATTGCTGCAGAGCGCGGCACGCAGCTTTCTCTCTGGAAACTTGCCCCGGACTTGCCCCCTGGCCACGAGCGAAGCAGGGGCAGCTTTCTCCTCCCCACCCATCACTGCCCCCCCTTTTTCTTGCAGGCCACGGGGGACCAAGTGTCCCTCTTTGTGCATGACGTGAAGCCCAATTCCGAGGACCAGACCCAGCTTGCAAAGGCGGCCTTCAAGCACCTCAGAACGCTGCGGCACCCCAATATTTTGTCCTACATTGACGGACTGGAGGTAGCCTGGGGGGGTGTTACTTTGGGGTCCTGCAGGTCCGGGCGTGGCATGGGGGCAGCAAGTGCTGGTATTAGGTACCAAAAGGTCCAGGGCGCTTTGTGCGTGTTCATGGGCATAGGTTCTAAAGGTTGCAAAGGATTCAGTCTCTTGAAGAAAGATGCTCGCCCTCGTTTGCAAAGAGGGATGGGCTGCAGGTGGAAAGATTGGGGGGCACCGAAGAGAAAGCCCATGTGGACCAAAGCTGGTCAAGCCAAGGCAATCGGATGATTGGGGCCTAATTCTAGCCAGTGGCGCTTCAGAGATGCTGAGCTCTAAATATTTAGGGCTTCCGCCCATGGAACTGCCCCCAGAGGTTGCTTCCACCCCACCTTTCCAGAGCTGATCAAGCGTCACACATCTTGGTGAACGACAGCCAGGCAGGACTGATGCAAAAAAATTTGGTGCTAGCTGGAGCTGAGAGGTGTGGGGTTTTGATGTTGCGACCCGAGGAAGTTGAAAGCAGAATCTTTAACTGATGTTTCGTTCTGGATGTTGACCCATCTTTCCAGCTAAAGAGCATACCGTTTCCATGCTTTGCTAAAACAGCAGTCCCTGCCAGTTCTTCCTTTCAAAATGTTATAGGTGTTCTCACCCTCCTTGGCGTCCCTTTTTTGGCCGCTGAAGGGGGCCAGGTTGGACTTTCCTTGCTTCGGGGTTCTTCCCGGGAAGCCATCACAGAGTTCCCTGGCCGATGGAGGAGGCCGGAATTTGCAGTCCCAAGAACTGTTCTTAAATTGCCGGCACCCTTGGATTCTTGGTGGGTTTGCAGCCCCTCTTGCAAAGTGTCCCAGGCTTGGCTGGCTGTGCCAGATGCCTCCCTGCGCCTGCATCCAGGTGATGTAGGCTTTCTGCCCAGGTGTACCTGCCGTGCATACAGCACCTTGCAGAATGAGGGAAATACCTGAGACCCCCAAGGAGCCAAACTGAACTCCAGAAGCTGCACTGTTGTGCAAAAGAGAGATTATTGCGTGCCTTCTCCGCAACCTGGCGTGCTCCCCTGTCACCTTGATCAGGTGAAAAGGGAAGACGGTGCTGGTGGGGAACCGATTCTGCGTCAAACTGTTGCTCAGGCCTCTTTAGACAGGACCTGCCTAAAAAAACAGGCTGCATCTTGCCTTCGTGGCGCAAACATCCTGCAATCCAGTCATGTGTTTTCTGGCTTGCTTTGGCAGACAGAAAAATGTTTGTATGTGGTGACGGAGCCCGTGATGCCGCTTTCGGCTTACCTGGAATCGCGGGCCGCTGGGAGAGGCTTGAATGAACTGGAGATTTCGTGGGGTCTACATCAGATTGTGGTAAGACGGGGCAGTGGCCATGTGCTTAAGACGATAATTTTCAAACAGTCCTGGTCTTAAACATCCTCCGACTCTTTTGGCTTGGACCGTTCCAGGGTGTTGGTGGGTTAACAAAACAACACCCGTAAGTTGTGGAAAATAACATGTTTTTCCTTTCCTGTTTGTACGTGACACCCTGGGCTTTCGAAACCCTAATTTATGAAGCCAGGAACAAGGGTCTGAATGGCTGCATAGAACTATTGTCAGTCTGTTTTGAGACGAAACTTTTATCATGCCGTACGCCCCTTTCCGAGTTTTACCAGTAATTCAGATATTTCTGTCTTCCTCTCATGTTTCCCCATGCTCCTTCCATCATTTTTCTAACCACAGAAAATCCGTTAAAGAGACTTGCTGCAGAATCGTTTCCTATTGGCAGCGTCAGGCGTCCTTCTGTCCCAAATCGCCTCCAGTTCAAGTGTCGCACGTCTGCGTTTCTCTCATGTCCTTTCCCAAAGCAGCTTGCGATGTAAATCTTGACAACCAAGAGAGGGAAAACTCAGAAATCTCTTTAGCCATTTTTATGTGCTTTTGGATGCTGCTGCTTATTATTTTAATGCATGAATTATTTTAAAGTGTTTTTGAATAAGTCATTGCAAGCTGCTCTGGGAATGTATTTGAAGGTTGGGGTATAAAGCCTAACTGTAAAGGTGGGTTGATGGAAGTGGAGAGACTGCTTCGAGAGGGACTGGGAGTTCCACCGTGCTCTAACCACTAGGCTCTGCTTCCTTCCTGGGCTCTGCCTTTCCTAGAAAGCTCTCAGCTTCCTGGTGAACGACTGTCACCTCATCCACAACAACATGTGCGCATCTGCCGTCTTTGTGGATCGGGCCGGGGAGTGGAAGCTGGGTGGCTTGGAATACATGCATTCGGCTCAGGGAGACATCGCCGTGCCCCGGAAGGGCGTCCCGGAACTGGAGAAATACGACGCCCCGGAAATTACAGACAGCAGCAAAAGCACTGGAGAGAAATGGTGACCGACCTTCCGTCCTTCCTTCCTTCCTTCCTTCCTTCCTTCCTTCCTTCCTTCCTCCCACAGTTCCATGTTTTTCTTTTCCTTTTTAATAATCATGGGGCCCTTCAGGTCTGGTTTGCAGATGGTACCTGTTTGGGTCAGCAACTTAATCCCTTGATCTATTGTCGAGCGGCTGGGGAAGCCCCCGCATCGTCCTGGGGCTGCAGACACTGCCTGAATCTCCTCCACTGGCTTAGCCCCCTGTATCCAAATATATTTGGGGTGTTTTTGCCCTCTTCAGACTTATTTTTACACGAATATCCCTTTTTCCTCTTGCAAAGAAGCCAAGGCCTAGTCTTCCTGCTCTCCATTTTCTCCTCCCAGCAGCCCTGTGAATTAGTTCTTGCCCACAGTCTGCCAGTGAGCTTCAAAGCCAAATGAGGACTAGAACCTTGATCTCCTGAGTTTCAGTCCAGCACTGGAGTAAGGGCGAATGTTTTGTGCCATTAGAGGAATGGGTTCTATGTTTTGTCCTAATAAACCTCTTAAACTTTAAGGTACCATGAGACGTTCCTGAGATGCTGTAAAAGGTTACAGTTCCACACCTGCTAATTTGGACATAAGCCCCATGGGTCTTACTTCTGGGTAAATCTGGGTGGGATTGCACATAAGATCTGAATTTGAGTGGCTTGGGAAAGATGCTTCCGTCTGGACGTGGGACATGCTTCAAAGCAAGCAAAATCTGATTTTATGTTCTCAAATCATAAAAAGTCACGGCATTAGTATCAACACTGGCTTGACTAGAAATATATGGAAGCTCATACAGAGGAATTCTTTCCTGATCAGTCCCTTCCACGCTGATTTCCTGCAGATGTGATTTTGCTTCAGTGCCGGTGCTGAATGTGTGCTTGGCAGTGTGTGTGTGTGTGTGTGTGTGTGTGACAGATGTGTAAAAGGCTTTCAGCTGGAACACACCCCTCCCTCTGTTGTGACAGGTCAGCAGACATGTGGCGTCTCGGCTGCCTCATTTGGGAGGTCTTCAACGGCCCCCTACCCCGTTCGTCCTCCCTGCGGTCGCTTGGCAAGGTGAGCCTGAAGGAACATAGAAACCTAGAAACAGAGCGAGTCGGAAGGGGTCTCCCGGGCCATCTAGTCTGACCCCCGGCTCCAGCCGGCTCCGCTCACGACATGCCCGCCACGTGCATGTCCCAGTCGCCGATTCAAGCTTGCGGTGGGAATCCCCATCTTCCCAGGTGCTGTGCCTGCATCCACACGTCACAGTAAACCGGGGTTAGGGCTGGGCAGTTGAACCTGCGTCGAGCATGGCTCTTCCACGCTCTCCACGTCCCCATCCCCTGACCAGCAGATCGAACACGCAAAACCGCACTATCGCACTGATCGCAAGCTGAAGGGGAGTCAGCCAAGTGACGTGGCTGCACCAAGGGCGGGTGCTATCTCAGCGGCGTCGGGAAGGGCCGCTTGCGGGTCCTGGAAGGAACAGTCCCCCTTCACGCAGCGCCTGGGAGCGTGTTCTTCCTGCCTCGCAAAGAGGGTGCCCCGTGCCGGGAGGAGGCCTTGGCTCCGTGCTTGGAGGCCTGCCTGCACGGGGAATCTGCTGGGCCGCGACTCCCAACGGGGGCTGGGAACATTTGCCTCTGAGGGTGCCGAGCCTTCCCGCCTCCTTCCGTCCCCTCCAGATCCCCAAGGCCTTGGTGCCCCATTACTGTGAGTTGGTTGGAGCCAACCCCAAGCTGCGCCCCAGCCCCGCCAAATTCCTGCAAAACTGCCGTGGGCCGGGAAGCTTCATGGACAACAGCTTCGTGGAGACCAACCTCTTCTTAGAGGAAATCCAGGTCAGTCTGTTCTTTGCAAAGGTAGAAAGCTCCGAGTTTGCTGTTGTAGGATTTCTGCGTCTCCACCCTGCCGGATAATTTTTAAAAAACGAGCCAGAAGTGATGGAGGAGTGGGTGGTATATTTCGGTCCCCCATTCTGGCTAAATTTTAGGGACTAGCAGCAGCAGCAGCTGCATGGCAGAGCCCCCGTTTGGCTTGCAGAAAGTAAATATATTTTTGAAACTTCGCACTGCTTTGTTGCTTAGTGCTACAGAGTTTACCCTGTTTTTTCATCTTACCTTCTCCTTTCCTGTGATGTGTTACATTTCTATACTTTCCAGTAGCTGAAGCACTAAAAAGTTTTAAAATACATGATAAACTGCACAGGATTCTTAGGACCTTCCAGTTCCAGAGGTTTCAGGCATCTGAATCAGCTTGCTCTGCCAGTTTGTTCTGCTTACATATATACCCGTCTTTCCATCCATCGCAAGTCTGAATCACCGCATGCGCCTGATTTTTCTATGCCACGTGGCCCATGTGAGCCACAGAGAGACACGGGGTGTGACCGGATTCTTTCCCCCAGATTAAGGAGCCAGCCGAACGGCAGAAGTTCTTCCAGGAACTGAGCACCAACCTGGACGCCTTCCCGGAGGACTTCTGTCGTCACAAAGTCCTCCCACAGTTGCTGACCGCGTTTGAGTTTGGAAGCGCCGGCGCCGTCATCCTTATCCCGCTCTTCAAGGTGAGCAGCCCTGGAAATATGTGGGGTGGGGGACCACAGAGTCCTTGGCACGAGGTGGGGGGTGCACTTCACTTAACGTGCCGCAGGCTTTCCCAGTGGCTGACGGGGAAGCCACAGAAGCGCCGTGGCCATTTTTCCAGTGGCGTCATTGAGTGCAAAGAATTTCTGGGGCATCGGAAACATCCTGACGGGCCACATGTTCCCTGAGGTGACCCTTTTGTACTTTTCTTTCACTGATCCTCCAATTAAAGCTGGAATTTCTGTGGCGGCATGAGCAGCTGTTTCTCTTTGGAAGAGCGGTTTGGGCATCTGAGTGCTGGCAGCTGGTTTCGGAGAATAAACCGCTTCTTTTCTCTTTACTCACCCCGTTCTCTTTTGTCACTTTTCAGGTGGGGAAATTCTTGAATACCCAAGAATACCAGCAGAAGATAATTCCTGTGATTGTGAAAATGTTTTCCTCCCCCGACCGGGCCATGAGAATTCGGTTGCTGCAGCAGGTGTGTGGCTCCGTGTGCCATGCGTTGGAGGAGCGGATTTGAGAAAAGCGTCTGTCTGTCGGTATAACCTGGACAAACTAGGTTTAGAAACATATAGGCTGGCTCAGGCTTAGACTTGACTATTTCTGTCTAATAGGCAACGGTCCGTGGGTGATTCGCAATAGTTAAAACCCTAAAACACAACATAAGGTGTGCTTTAAAAAACTGAAGCTAATGGTAGGAGATGGAACTGAAAAGGAATTCAAGGGGCTGGTTTTAACCTAGAAAGCCCTACCTGGCTTGGGAGCGCGATACCTGAAGGGACGCTGCTCCGTCCCCCTGGATGCGACGATCAAGATCGGGGGTCTGCCTCTGATTACCACCCCCCAAGCTGCTCGGTTAATGGTAACAAGAAAGGGGCCTTCTGAGTGGTGGCTGCACAGCTGTGAAGCGAGCTCCCCACCGAGGCCGCCTGGCACCAGCCTTGCTTCGGCACCAGGTCAAGGGTTTGCTCTGCCGTAGGGCATTTAACCAGCTGGGGCTTTGTGTGTGTTTAATCCACGTTCTTGCTTACTGGAAGTCATAGCTACGTGGGGACCCCACCCCAGGTCTCCCAGGTGCCCAGTGACACGCTCTAGACCCCCAAAGGTTGGTGGGGCCTAGAACCGGACCGCCCCACCCGAGCCGCGTGGCCGCCCTCTGCCTCTGGCGAGGGCCCTTTGGTGACGTGGCCGTCTTTTCGCCAGATGGAGCACTTCATCCAGTACCTGAATGAGCCCACCGTCAACAGCCAGATCTTTCCCCACGTGGTGCACGGCTTCCTGGACACCAACCCGGCCATCCGCGAGCAGACGGTGAAGGTGGGCGCTGGGGGCAGGAGGCTTTTGGGCACCCCGTCCCGGGGCCCGGGACAGCCCCTGGGCGGAGGGGGGGGGGAGCCCGCTACAAGCAGCCGAGTCGGCCCTGCCCGGGAGGACCGTGCGGCCCGGCGCTGCCCCGCTGAGCTGCGCCCTTCTCCCCCCTGCAGTCCATGCTGCTCCTGGCCCCCAAGCTGAACGAGAGCAACCTCAACGTGGAGCTGATGAAGCACTTCGCCCGCCTGCAGGCCCGGGACGACCAGGGGCCCATCCGCTGCAACACCACTGTGTGCCTGGGCAAGATCGGGCCCTACCTCAGCGCCAGCGTGAGTGGGAAGGGCCTGGGGCGTCTGGGGGCAGCCAGCCGTGGGCAGGGGGAAAGGGCGGCACGGAAGCGGGACCGCCCGCCCGGCCCACCTGCTGCAAGCACAGCCGATCTCCAGGGCCCCGGCAAAGCACCGAGCGATCTGGGCGCTGGCCCAGAGGAGCAGAAAAGTGCAACTCACAACTGCGACTTTGTACATGTGCCGAAGTCTGTGTGTGTCTTTGGAGGACGCTGCCTCGCGAGGGTGGCCCTCCTCGTGGAAAGGGACGTGCGGAGACGGGAGAGCAGGGGGTCTGATTCGCGAAGTCTAAGCTCAGAGACTGGGGGAGAGCAGGACGATTCCTTGGGTGGGTCCGTTAAAACTATAAAACACGACATAAGCAACGCTCGAAAAACTGAAACTATGGTGTGAAATGGAACTGAAAAGGAATTCAAGGGGCTGGTTTTACCTAGAAAGCCCTACCTGGCTTGGGAGCGCGATACCTGATGGGACGCTGCTCCGTCTCCCTGGACACGACGATCAAGATCGGGGTCTGAGTGCCACCCCCAAGGAAGGCTTGGTTAAGGGTAACAGGAAAAGGGCCTTTTTAGTGGTGCCCCCCCCCCCAGTTGTGCAATGAGCTCCTCGGGGCGGGGGGTTGTATTTCAGCTGGACCAGAGATTCAGGCCTCCAGCCCCACTGGGCCCCCCGCTAGCCTTGTGTCTGCCAGGCAGAGAAGGGCCCCCTCCTGTCCCCTCTGTGCGATTTTTTTACCCCCACGTAGCGGGGACTCTGCCGGGGCCCTTCCACATGCAAAGCAGCCACAGAAAGTAAAAGAGAAATGCAAATAAAAACTTGTTTCAAGCCAGTCCCAGAAGGGAAACCTCAAAGCGGCCAAGGGCAGATGGCAAAGACTCGGTAGGTAAGGGAAGCGGAGCATCTGTGGGGGAAACGACATCCCGGGGCCAGGCAGCGGGTGGAACGGAGCATCCGGAAGGCCTGGACGGCTGGAATGCTGGATTGCTGGAAGGCCCGTGTGCTCTGCACAGAACCGAGCGCAGCTGAGCTTCCTCCGTAGCCGCTGCTCCTTTTCTTCACAGACAAGGCAAAGCGTCCTTATATCAGCCTTCAGCCGTGCCACAAAAGACCCCTTTGCGCCATCGCGGGCCGCTGGAGTCCTGGGTTTCGCAGCCACGCACAACTTCTACTCCATGAAAGACTGCGCCTTCAAAATCCTGCCGGTGCTGAGCACCTTGATGGTGGATCCAGAGAAGACAGTCCGGGACCAGGTGAGCGAGCGATCTGTGGAGCAGAGCCCCTGTTATACCTCACCTGCGAGTCGGGATCGGAGACGGTTTCATCTGGGCTGCAGTCTTGAGCTGAAACGACTTAATTTGCACTGAAGGGACCGAACATTCAGATGAGTTACGCTTTAGGTGCAAATTCTAGGTTAGCTTAGACAATGCACAGCACAGAGCGTCTTCTCTGAATGCTGCAAGGGGGTTTTCAGCTTAGGAAACGTGCTTCAAAATACACATATTAGGGGAAATTGTGCACAAAATACACGAATGCATACAATTCTCGGCACGTTCCAGGTGGGAACTGGGACTTGCTGGTGGGGCATGCTGGGAATTGTAGGCCATTTTTCTGCCTAAGCTTGTCTAGGATTGCACCTTGGCTAGAGTGTTAGACTAAGAGGCTGACCGCATGGCCAACAGTCATCGTGGAAGCTGAAGTCCACACGGTCTAGAAATCCGCTTTCTGCCCTCCTGTACTCTGAGCATCCAGAAAATGTTCCAGGAAGAGCTGAGTATTTTTGTAATGAACGTTCCCAACACAAATGTCTATGACCTGTTCAGCTTTGCAACAAAGACTCTGGTGCATGGATTTGCATTTTGCCTCCTCCTGCCCAATCCCCTTTCCTTTTGTGCTATGCCTCTTTTAGATTGTAAATCTTAAGAAATATCTTCATAAAGTTGCCTTGGGATGTTTCTTGGCTAAAGAACGGGATAAAAATCCTCTCAAAACGACGCCTCTCTTGCTATTTTTCTCTCCAAAAAATTTCTTCTCAGGCCTTCAAGGCAATCCGCAGCTTCATGACCAAGCTAGAAACTGTTTCTGAAGATCCAACTCAACTCTCTGAGCTGGGTAAGAATCCCTTGGGCATGGGGAAGGGCAGGGGTGAGAGGATCTGGCCCCGACATCCAAGTCGACCTGGCTGAGAGGGGTTTTGATGAACCTCGGCTCACTTTGCAATCCATGCCCACTTTGGGTTTGGCCTCTGCCCAGTTCTGCCCCTAAATTCGCTGGAGTGCAGTCCTGACAGACCTGGACTAACAGCGAGCTGTCTGGAGGAAGGGTCCCGGGATCAGGCCGAACTGAGCTCGATGCTCTGCCCTCTCTTCAGAGAAAGACGTCCAGGCCGCTTCCGCAAGCCCAGGGGCCGGTGCGGCTGCCAGCTGGGCGGGCTGGGCCGTGACGGGGGTTTCGTCTCTCACGTCCAAGCTGATCCGGACAAACGCTGGGCCGACACAGCCGGCAGCCCCTGCAGCCGAGCAGGTCCCAGCCGGCACGACCACGGAGCCCCCCAAGTCGGGTAAGTGGCCGCCAGAAATCCGCGCCCCGCCAATTCCCCGCTGGGACGGAGCAGGAAAGAGGGCCGTGGCAGTGGGGCAGGCGGCAGGCCCTGCGTGGGCCACGTCATCCAGCTGAAGGCGGTGCGCCCATTTCTCTTTCGTGAGCAAACGGATCATGGCACTGACGCCGCACAGGTGGTGCTCTCCGAGCTGGATTTGTCGGGAAGCGGCGTTCCCAAGCAGCTCCAGCCACCTGAAGCTCCAGCGTCTGGCACCCACAGCGCCACGAAGCCTTTAAGCAAAAGCAGCTGCCCTCCTCAGGGGCGGCCTGTTTACGCTGTGCGCATGCCACTCGGGGCCTCCACCGAAAAGGCCCCGTTGCGGTGGCCTCCCAGTCCAAAGCGCTTTTACGGACCAGCCCACAAGCCGCGACTCTTCAGCGTCTTCTCTTCTTCTTCTTCAGAGAGTGTTGTGCCTGCAGCTCCGGCAGCGGCCGCCCACCTGTCCGGCAGCTGGGACCTGGAGGAGGACGTGGTGGAGGAGGAGAGCTTCGCGGAGAGATGGGACGATGAAGACTGGGGCAGCCTGGAGGTAAAAGGCCTCGGGGCACCCGCTTTGGCCCACGGCACGTGGCCGCTCGAGAGAAGGTCTGGGGCATGGCCACAAAATGGCTGCCACGGGGATGCGGCTGGTCACCGTAAGCTGCCCCAAAGACGAGGCCTGGTCTGTAAAGCACGCCACTGGTTTGATACCACGGGCTGCAGCAGCGGGGGAAATGGGTTTGTGGGAAGCAAGCTCTCGTTCTGTCCGCGGCAGCCCCATGGGGGGGGAGGTCCAAGGGGCTGCAGGTGGGCGCACAAGAGAAAGAGAAAGGGGGGGCGTGTGGGCTGAGCGCCCTTGCTCGGTGGGCAGTGTCCCCTTTCTCCTTCCCAAGGCCGAGCAGCCCAGGACGCAGGCCGGCCCGGAGGACTGGAACAGCCCGGGGTGGTCGGAGCCAGCCGCCGCGAAGAAAGCCGGGGGCAGAGCGGTGAGTCTGTCCGGGGTCCCTGAAGCGGGGCGGCTCTCTTGCGCTCCTCCTCCCAAGAGCCGCGGCCCAGTCGCACGGCGAGCAGCGCACCGACGGGGCGGGGGACTTTGGGGGACCGGACCCCTCCACGCGGCTGTGCCCGCCACTGACATGCCGCTCTCTCCACGCCCCACGCTCCGCCATCATGTGGACTAGGACCCTAGTGCAGTGGCGAGCGGAGCGTTTTACGCCTCCCTGAAGCCCGAGACAAACCCAGGACGGTGAGAAAGGCGCCACCCAGGGTTCGGGCCAGGCGCTTCAGAGCGGCTTCCCCTTTTCTGCCGCCGCCACAGGCTGCCGCCGGAGCGAAGCGGGAGCCGGCCCGGAGCGCCTCTGCCTGGGAGCCGGAGCCCTGGAGCCTCCGGAAGGGGGCCGGCTCTGCCCTGGAGGAGGGCTGGGGCAGCAGCTGCGAAGGGGACGACCCCTCCGGCCCCGTCCACAAGCCCGTGGCGGCCCCCCAAGACGGAACCAAGCTGGCCAGTGAGTACAACTGGGAGAGCAGCGTCTCCACGGAGAAGCCGGACCCGTTTGCCTGCCTGGTGGAGAGGCCCGCCGCGGAGAGGCAGGTACGAGGACCTCCCGGGCCTTTCCCTGGGTGCACCCAGGCGGATCTCATAACTTAACTGGGGAAAAGCCAGAACGACTCGGGTTGGAATCTGCCACGGGCAGGTGGGTCCGAGAGGATTCCCCCCCTGAAGCCGGGGCGAGCCAGAAGCGGTGCGTGCTGGCAGCCCTGAGCCAGGTGGGCCCCACGCCCTCTGCCTGCTTCCGTCTGAATGGACGGAGAACCATGAGGACTGGAGTCCTGCCTTCTTTTTGAAAGCGAGGCTGCAGCGCCCCTGCTTTGCACGCAAAGGGGCCGAGATGCATGGCCCCTGTGGCTCGGACCGCATGGCCGCCTTACCTGCCCGCTTCCTCCCCCCGTCTTAGAGAAACACGGAGCTGCTGGGCGACTGGGGCCTTGAAGAGAACTGGGAACCCCTGGACTCGGACCAAGGTGAGTGGCTTTGCCCCGCGCTTCCCGGGACGGAAGCGGAGGCCCAGCCATGACGCCGGGTCTCCTCCTCACCCCTGCAGGTCCCAGCAAGGCGGAGCTGGCCCGGAAGAAGCGCGAGGAGAGGCGGCAGGAGATGGAAGCCCGGCGAGCCGAGAGGAAGGCCGCCAAGGGCCCCCTGAAACTTGGGGCCCGGAAGCTGGACTGACCCCCTTCTTCCTCCTTGGGGCACGTGCATGGCCAGGGATACGGTGGGAGGAAGGCAGCAGTGCTCCTGTTGGAGGCTGAGGGAGGCAGCACCGACTGGCCTCTCTGGGGTGCCCCCGGGCTCCCCACATCTCGCCGTGCCCGGCCAGACCTTGCCAAAACCCTCTCTGGCCCGCTCGGCGGTTCCTGCCTCCCGTGACGGGCAAGACGCGGACTCGGCCGCCCGCACAGGAGCTCGGGGAAGCAAAAGCCTTGCGCTCTCCTCGTAGAATAGGGTTTCTGTCCAGCTGTTCGTCTCCGGCGTGGCGCGTGTATTTTTTGCCTGTTTGATGAGCTCATGCAGAAAGAGACGAATAAACGAACTCTTTAACGAAGCGGGAGGCCCAAACCCTGTGCCAGCGAGCATCTTGGCCTGCCGATGGAAGCACACCCCGGCCCTCTGCGGCTGGGAAGGTGGGGCGCCGTGTCCGCCGGGCCCCTCTGCTCAGAGGGCCTTTCCGCTTCCTCAGGGAGGCTCCCCCAAACTCCTGGCTCAGCAGCCGTCCAGCCTGGCACCTCTCGAGCTCTGCCTTCCGGCCTGGCACTCGCCCAAAGAAGAGACGATCTGTGGATTCGGCAATTCTTTAATGCATGTTTTTTCCTGAGCGAGAGGACCAGGCCGGGACCCGCGGGAGCCCCTGGGCCAGGCCCGTTCCGAGCTGCTTCCCCCGGCCCGTCTGGGGAAGCTGGGCCCCAAAGCACGAGTCCCACTCCCTGCTGGCGAAGTTGGACCCTCCTCCTCCTCACTGCAGCACACGGCTGGACTGAGCGTGGCTGGTTTGGTTAAAAGGTAAATGTTGCGGCACTTTAAAAAGCGAATGCTAATCCTGGGTGGCTTTGCAGCAAGCAGGCGAAAGGCGGGCGGGGGGCAGCGGAGTCGGCGGGCGAGTGTGCGGGGCCAGCAGCCGTGGGGCCAGGCTGCCGCCTTCCCTGAGAGCGCGCGGGTCTCGGTGCGCAGTGCAGTGAGCCCGGCTCGGGCTGGCAGCCCCATCCGCAGAGCTGCTGGGGTCTCCCCTCCACAACGGCCGGCTGAGGTGGGAGGTGCGCGCCCCTCCCTCACCCCGGCGGTGCCGGCCGCTGCAGGCAGATGTGGCCGAGCCACGCCGCTCCGGGCGCTTTGGCGCGGTCCGAGACACCCCGTCGGGGAGCAGCCGGGCAGCAGAGCCGCGAGCCGCTCGCCTCAGCTGGCGCTGTCCAGACTCCGGTCCATGACCTGCAGCGAGAGGGAGATGCTCTGAAGGGGCTGCGGGGGCCGGTGGACGCAAAGGGGTGTGGGGCCAGGCGTCCTCGCTGCGCCGCCCCGGAGTCCGGGAGCCTTTGGGCAACGCGAGGACGGACCGGCAGCGAGGGGCGCCCAAGCAGAGCCCCCGGCAGCCCCTGCCCCGCCGCGCTCACCTCTGCCGGCGTCCCGGCACCGGGAAAGGGGCCCTGCCGAGAAGTGGCGGCGTCCTCAGGGGGGGCGCCGCCCGACCTGTGCTTCACTGCGGAGAGGACAGAGGGGAGGGGTCAGCCGGGGGGGCCCTGCGGGGCATCCCACTCCCCCGTGCGGCCGGAAGGGCCGCTTGGGGCCCCTGGACGTCTTGGCCGACAGCTCTCCCAGCCCTCGCCGCTGGCTGTGGTGGCCGTGGCTGACGGGAGTTGTTGGCCAAACTTGGGGAGTGCCACTGGCGCCCCCTCTCCAGAGGCCCTGATGGGGAGGGGGGCTGTTTGCTGCTCCGCGCAGCATCTTACAGGAGGAGGAGGTGGAGAGGGGCGCCCCCGGGGTCTCGCCACCGCTGCCCGTGGACGGGGGCCGCCGGGTCTCCGACAGGCTGCTGCATCGCATCCGTGCGTGGGCCTCCTGCCGCTTCTCCTCCTGCGCCTGGAGGGAGAGATCTGGCTTGCACGGGGGGCTGGAGGACGCTGCGCTGGCATCGTTCGTCGGAACGCCGCGTGCAAAATAAAAACTCCTCCTCCACGTGCAGTATTTCTAGAGGGCCTTTCCAAGAAACGGCCTGCCTTGCAAAGGGTCCCTAACCAGGACCCCCAGCTGAATAAGAGCCGCACAAAGCTTTCAAAAGGAGCTTCAAAGCATCGCCCCTTTAAAAAGTCAGTTTGAAAGGTGACCGGAACGCGGAGTGGGGACACGACGCAGATCCCCAAGGAGCGTGTTCAGAGCTGGGGAAGCGACGCAGGCGAGGGGCCTCCTTCAGAAAGCCGGGCCCCAAGGACTCCAGAGGTGGCAGCTCAACTCCCGGCTCGATCCCGAAAGCATTTGGCGAGTGCGGTGCTTCGAACATGGGGGACGCGCCAGGCTTGAGTGCCGAGACACCCCCGGCGCGACCGGATCTGCGTCGCAAACCCCCAGCGAGGCCCCTGCCCCCCTGCGCGAGCCGGCCCGCACGTGGCTGCTGCGGCCACTACTCACCACGGGCAGCTCCTGCAGCCGGTGCTGCTTCTCGCTCAGCCCCACGTGCACCACGTGGTTGAAGTTGCTGGGGCCCGAGATGAGCTTGGAGCGGAGGGCCGGGTTGCGCATCATCTCCCTGCGCGGCGCAGAAAAGCAAGCGGCGGTCACGGCTGCCAGCGCTCTTGGCGCTGCCGCCGGCACAGCGGGCCGGATCCGGGTGCAGCCGGCAGGATGCCGACTGCGGAAGCCCAGGATCCGAACTGAGGCGGGCCTTCGGCTTTGCAGATCACACCTGCGGCCCAGGTGTGGGCAAGCGGACAAGGAGGACACAACGGCTGTAGATCCACACCCTTCAGTTCTCCCCAGAGTCCCTCTTCTCGGGGGAAACACCCGAGAAGTCGGGAAGCCCGCTCTGGGGGCCGTTTTCAGCTCCTCAAGGAGCGGGACTTTGACAAACCCCGTGGCCCGTTGCAGAGCGAGCCAGGCCAAAAGCACCTTGTTGCGAGCAGGGGGAAACCACGGCTGCTCATCCTTGCAAGGATTGCGGCACAGGTGCGAGAGAACGGAATTCCTAGTGGGGGGCAGATGGCATCACGGCTCCCCCCCAGCTTCGACCCGCGGAGCCCCCTTCCGCTGCCCCGTCGCCCCGAGCCACCTGGTCTCACCTCCGCTGCTGCTGCCGCTCCTCCTCGGAGATCCGGAAGGAGAAGCGGCGCTTGTGCCGCGTCCTCACGAGGTGCCGGCGGCTGTTGTCTGTCGTCTGGGGGACGTCGAACTCGTCCTGGTCTGGGGGACAGTGGGGGGTGGCTGCTTGCCGGCTGCTCCCCAGGCTGCGGAGTTGCACCCCTCCAGGTTTGGCCAGGCCAAGCCCCGCAGGGCCTGTCTGGGCAGGTTCCCCTGGCCGGTGAGGGGCCCCCGACCACCAGGGGGTGGCTCGTCTTCCCAGCATGGCCCCTTGCGCTCACGCACGCTGGTCCAGGGGTCAAGGGCCCTGCCGGGCCGTTTCTGGGGGCGACGGACCCAAGGGAGACTGGGCGAGACACAGCAAGTGGGGCAGCTCCCCACCTCGGCTGGCGTCTTCCCAAAGCTGCCTTAAACGTTTCCAACACTGAGGTGGGCAGCGCCGGAGACCAGCTGCAGCCCTTCTCTGGCCAGGCCGGCTGCCCCCATCCCTGAGCAATCCCGACAGCCCTAAAAATTGGGCCGCGCCCCGAGACACCTCTGCCCCGCCACCTGGGCCCCTCCGCCTTACCTGCCGCCTTGTTTCGGAGGTATGTCAGTCGGACCTTCTCACTCCCGAAGGTGCAGAGAGAGCCCTCGGGGTTCAGCGCCCGGACCTGGCCAGGGAGAAGGTGTTTCTCTGACCCGGCTGCTCCCGGCGGTGCTGCCGGGCCTGCGCCCACGGCCCCCCAACTGCAAATCCCCTTTTTAGAGCCACGGGTCTGTTCCCCACCCGAGTGTCCACGCGTGCCGGGAAAGGGCCTCGGCACCTGGCTGCAGCGGGGATGCTCAACAGCAGCGAGGGTGCACCCTCGATCTCCGCGTTCTGCCCCGTTCCCCCGCCCCGAACTCTTTCCACCACGTGGCAGATCCAGGCACGGTCCCGGCACAGCACAATCCCCCAAGCCAGAGGTTCGTGCTTAGTTGGTGCAGGGCAGGGTCTGAAGCGCCAGTTCACTGGAGCTCCGGGAACATTCAGACCATTTTGAAGGGGGAAATGGTACAGCCAACCCCAAGCGCCCAGCAGAGGTTTGGGGGGCCAAGGGAGGGCTGGATTTGGCCCCCGAGTTGGGGTTCCCCACCTCTGAAGCAGACCGAGGGCGAACAGAGTCCCTGAGAGACTCCCCCAGTAAGCACCCTCCCCACAGCCCCAAAAGCGTCCTCCGTGCACCTTTTTCAGAGGGATGGTCTGGATCCATTCGGCTTTCCGCACGTTGAACACGTCCACCGCGTTCTCGCTGAACACGGACAGATACGGCGCAGTGTAGCCTGTGGCAGGAAGGGGCGGCGCGTCTGCGTTGGGCGGCTTGCAGGCCGACTCTCACCTCTCCGCACGGTGCTGCAGAGGCCCAGACCCCCTTCCTCCACCCGGCCCTCCCACGGTGCTGGACTGCAACTCCCATCCTCCCCAGCCAGGATCCCTGCCCCTTCCCCCCCCAGCCCGGCACCCTCCCAAGGCTCTGCACTTCCAACTCAGAGCATCCCCATTCAGCATGCCCACTTCTTGCCAGACCAGCACCGCCGATGGGGCCAGACGACCAACCCCATCCTCCCTAGCCTAGCGCTGAGACGTTGGACCGCAACTCCCATGGAGCCCACGGCCGTGGCACAGGGGGCCGAGCCCGGGGGATCCGAGGGGCCCCACTCACAGCAGCTGAGCGGGGGCGCCGGCCACATCAGCTCCTGGGGCCGGCTGCTGCGCCCCTGCCCGTCCACGTAGAAGCCGAAGCCGCTGAAGCACAGGATCAGCTCGTTCAGGCTGACCTCCACCGCCTTCAGGGCCTCCATCTGGCGCGTGGCCTTCGCCCGGGGGTCCTCGGGGTGGGGCAGGCAGACCGGGGGCCCCTCGTTGAGCAGCGGGTAGAGCGAGAAGCCGGACGGGTAGCCCACGCAGAGCCGGTCCCCCAGGACGTCCAGGCACTGCACGTAGCCCGGGGCCTGGATCTCCCGGATGCGCCGATGCGGGGGCCGGGTGGCCGTGAGCTGGAAGCAGAGCACCTGGTGCTTGCAGGCCACGCAGAGCACGGGGGTCGTGCCGCGGCAGATGAGCCCCACGGCCACGGCCTGGCAGCCCTTGGCTTCCGCCACCTTGCTCCCGGGGGCCTCCGGCGTCTCCAGCTCCGCCCAGGAGAAGAGGCGCACGCTGTGGTTCTTCCCGCAGAGCACGGCCAGCAGCTGGGCCTGGGGCGACACCAGCAGCAGCTGCACCCGCCGGCAGTCGCCCACCTGCAGCACGTCTGGACGGGGAGGAAAGGGGGTCGCCGTTTGCGCGAAGGCACAGGACTCCAGCCAGCAGCCCCCTCCCCGCCAGCCGTGGCCCCACGCTTCCCAGCTCCCCCAACTGCCCGGTGCATCATGGCAGCCCAGTCCCCCTCCCCGTTTGCTCATCCTGACCTTTCTAAATAAAGAAATACCACTGCGTATGTATGTGCAGTTTGGCTCCCTGAGCTCGTTTTTAACCCCTGGCCAGAGCGGAATAAAACGGAGCTGGCTTCTCCTGCCCTGCTGAGAAACACATTTCTCTTGAGAATAAACCCCCACTGTGTCGCAGAAAAGGAGAGTGTCTGTTTGTAAGGAAAGAGAATTTGCAGCCTTGCACAGACCAAACACTGTGCGGGCTTCTGTTAATGCCCGTCTATACTAGCACCCCTCCGGAAAGCCGCATGCCACTTTCCGGGAGCCACTTGCTCTGAGGTGCAGCTGCGGCCGCCCTGTTCCCGGGGCGAGCTGAGCAACCCCAGGCTGAAGGTGCAGTCTCTGCCCTCCAACCTGATGCCCCAAACCAAAGCAGCGCCTCCCCCGCACCTGCCCTGGGGCAGGCTCCTTCCTACCATTTGTCTGGAGATTAATCAAAAACAGGCCGTCCTCCGTTCCCAGGGCAATCCGCTCGCGGTCTGCAAAAGAGGCAGAGCCCCCTCAGTCCCTTCCAAGGCCTCAGGATTGCTGCCCTCCGCTTGGGGACAGTACACAGGTCAAGCGGAGGCAGGGCTGCTAAGACAACTCCAGCATGCCCCACACTGGGGGCAGCAGCCCGGCTCCTGGCCTTGGGCGGCCATCAGGCCTAAAGCACACCCTTTTCCTCTCCGCCCCATGTCAGCCGGGCGGCCACGCTCCAATCGGAGAAGCCCCGTGGGCCACCCTCCGGTGGTGCCCGGGGCCGCAGGAGCCCACGTTCCAAAAACTCCCTGTGTACACATTTAGCTTCACTTCTTTCTGCCGGCAACGGAGACTCCGATGAGACATTTCAACCCCCCAGAATGGGCGGCAACTTCACAAAGAGCCGGGCCGGTGCCGGAGCGTGGCTGGGGCCTTGGGAAAGGGCGTGCTTTCCCGGGAGCTGGACCGGGGTCTGCCGCCCGGCTCTCCGTCCTGTACCTATGATGGCTGCCGCGAGCGCGTGAGGGACCAGGGGCAGCCCGTTGTCGTACGCTTCCTTGAGGATGTAGACTGCGCGGTCGTGCTGCCGGCTCTCCTTCAGGACGCGGTGCAGTTCCGTCAGCACCTGCACCCACTTCCTCATCTCGGCTTCGCTGTCCGCGAGGAACAACATGGAGCTGGTCGTGTGCGGAGAGTGGAGCTGGGAAGCTGTCACCTGTGGGCCGGGACGGAGGGGGATCAGGGTGGGGGGCAATCGAGTCCCCGGAAATGCCCAGGCGCCCCGTGAACCTCTGGCCCAGGGACGGCTCAAGTGGAGCTGACTTAGCAGCACAGGGAGGAAAACAGCCCGCCTTCCTCTGCTCCAGTCGGGTGGCTACAAACTTTTTCTCCCTGGACTTTTGGGAGTATTTTTCCACAGGCACAAAGAAAACCTTTTCCTTCCACCTCGCCCCCCAAGCTGTGCTTCCAGCCAGCTCTGGGATTCCAGCTAAGTCAGCGCAAGAAACCCAGAACAGAACAGTTTGCCCAAGCTGATTAAAGGAAGAAAAAATATCCTGCATTCGTGCAGTTCCACACTGGAAACTCAGCACTGGAGTTTCCTTCTGCTGCCCCGGCTCTGGGAGTAAATAAGCACCATTCTATGCTAGGAAAGGTAGTATCTTCTCAAAGTAGAACAAATAAATCAATTGTAACCATGTACCTCCCAGCCAGGCACCCCATAATTCAAAGATTGATGCTCAAGTTGTGCTTGATTTGGTGGAAAGACCCTTTGCTGAGTCCTAGCTGTGGTGGAAACGCGGTTGCAGCAACAAGAGCCCCTGAATTATTCCCGTTTGTTTCTGTTTTTTCACAGCGCTAGTCACAATAACGACAACACAACAAGCCTGTCACAACAAGACAGCCAAACGCAATGAAGGAATTGCGTATAAATGAACCTGTGAAAGCCAAACATTAAACTGAGGAGTTTTCAGCAATGCGCTTTTGATCTGTACACCGGCCGGCTTACAAGAATCAGAAACACAGACACCTAGTGCTGTAATTCCAATATTCCAAACAAACACCAAATGCATTTCAACCCAACAGATCTTAAATTTCTCATTTTTGAAATAAAAAGGGGTTTCTGCACATGCAGACAGCAAGGATGCGATGTTCTCACTCACAAACATCTTGCATTTCCTATAAGTGAGTGGAAAAGTCGCATGACTTCAATTCCCCTGTTTGAAGAACTTGGTAAATCTAACAGCGTACAGATCAAAGTTAAACTCGCGTGCTTATTTATTCATTCGATTGTTATTCCGCCCTGTGAGCCATCATGAAACCCACTCTCCCTTCCCTGCCAGCTGGACTTTTCCTCCTCTCTCTCTTACCCGGAAGATGCAAGGGACGTCTTTGCTGCTGGCATGGATGACATCGGAGGCCAGTACCGGAGCTACGGAAAACTGCTCGTCCCTAGCAGAACACCGGAGAAAAATTAAAAACCGAGCTGCAGAGACCCTTCCCAGGTGAGAAACGTGACCACGCGGGATGCAAAGGGACAAAATAGGCAGGCAGATCTGCTCCGCTTCCTTTCTTGGGGGTCTTAATGTGGACTTGGAACATGAGCTGGATGCTCCGTGAATACAAGCACCTTTTCTGCAAAATGGGACATGTAGTACCCGCCACTGCCACTGGTGCCCTCACACACACGACGCCCGCTTACCTCATGTCTGTGACATGCATGACACCCACATCGCACTGGGATAGCTTTCCCTCTGGAACATCGAACAGGAAAATCTTGAAGTCGCTGACGATGGCAAAAGCCCTCTGCCAGCCTTTCTTCACGCCGGAAGGTTTGGGCACCTTTGGGGGCAGAAAGAGAGGGTGGGGGATCAGCAAGGCTTGCGCTTTGCAGTTAGTGGAGGGGAGGGCATAAATGCAGGAAACGCTGACTCTCTCCTTCAGGATCTTGGAGCTGGTGGAAGGAATACCGAGCCCATCCAGTCCCTGGCCCAGACTGGGCCCTCGGTGCATCCCGGACAGCTCAACGCTGCAATTCTAGGCATGTGTAGACAACAGCAGGCCCGCGGGAGCCGGCTCCAAGTTTTGTCAAAACGTGCACAGATTTGTCCCAGAGACGTCAGGCCGCGACCCGTCGCAACAGCAGCATCACAGGGTCGTGCAGACAGCGTGGGAGACAGAGAGCGAAAAGACCTCCTTTTCCACACCCTTCTGCTCTGGATGAGTTGAGGTTTTTGAGCCATTTTTCCTTGGTAATCACCGGTCATTCCGCCAAATTAAAATAGTTTCATAAAAGGAGTTTCTCTGAAACCTTAGCTATTGCTGGTAAGGACTTTAGCCTTGTATCAGCAGCTCTTCTAGTTCTTCATTTTTTTCGGAATCCTCTGTGCAAAAAGGCAGCTTCTGCCCCTCAGGCCTGGCCCTCCCGGTTCTCCCTGCCTTCCCTGCCCCAGGCACGGCGGCTGGCCAGCCGGGAGGCCCCAGGTCTTACCGAGAGGAAGCCGTCAAAGGTGGGGTTCACCCCGAGCGTCGTCTGGAGCTGCTCCGAGGGCGTGGGGCAGGTGGTGGCTTCCCCCACGCAGGAGACGTGGCAGACGAAGCCGCAGGCTAAGCAGACAGAGGGGGAGAGGCGTGAGCGCCCCCAGCACAGGCCCCGAGCCGCGCTGGCCCCCGACGCTGGCGCACGCTTCCCGGGAGAGCCAGAGGGGAGTCCCACGAGGGGAGGTTCTCGGGGAGGGGGTGGGAGTCCAGTCGCTCCACGCAAACCTTCGCTGGGGCGAGGGCCTGCTTCCTGCCCGCGTGCTTCCTTGCTCAGCACTGGGAATGCCCGACCCTGCCCCTGCCCCTGCCCCGGCCGTGGGAGCACAATGCCGTCCAGCCGGGCATCCTGCGCTGATGAGGCCCCCCGGGAGAAAGCTGCAAGGAGGGCCCGAGCCGAAGCTCCTGCTGGCGACGGACTCGTGCAGCCAGGCTGCCCTGGACAGCGCACCTTCCCCGGGACTGGAAGCCTTCTCGGCCGCGAATCGGTCTCACCCCTGCTCCTGTAACGCTGCCATGAGCTCTGGGAAGGGTTTCCAACTCTCCCCGACTCCCTGCCTAAGACACCCCTTGGGTGCTTCGATCGGAAGAGAGAAGCCTCCTCTGCAGCACCCCCAAGGGGGGTCCTCCCTGGCACCCCTTCCCGCTAGGCAGCGAGGCGCCACTCACCCTCGCAAGCCAACCCTTGCCGGACGAGGCCCACGAGGAGCGATGCGCAGCGCATACACTTGGTGGGGCTGGAGAAGCTCTGGATTTTGAAGCTGTGCGATTTGGGCTGGAAAAGCATCACTGTATTTAGCCAGGCATCGATTCCCCAAAGGAAACTCTCTCCCCTTTTGACTGCATCACAAAGTCGAACGCTTAAAAGTATTTTCCCCCCATATAGATGTTTGATACTATAAACAGGACCATTTAAAATATGCAGGAAGAACAGATAAAAACACGTGTAGATGAGATAAAGCAATGTCTAGCTTGTCTTTTTTTCTTTTTCTTGCTCGTTTTTTGTTTGTTTTTAAAAGAAGGGGAAAAGCTCCCTTTTTCTGCCACACTGCTGAGCATAAGCTGCCCCTATGTAAATGAGGATTTCTAGCTGTCTATGAAAGCAGGCCGGTGCCTGCATTCACACATTACAATAAGCCAGAGTTCAGTTTGAGTGTGGGTTGCCGCCGAACTGTGGGTTGTTGCGGAACCACGGTTTGTTCCCCTGTGTGAATCCAGCCACGTTAGCCCACCATGGCTTCTTAACCAGAAACAGCGCACAGAGAGAACCCGTGGATTGTTTCTGCGCTGCGAATTGCAGGCTGCTTGTGCTTAACAAACCATGGCTTGTTAACACGGCTGGGGCCACAGATCACAACAGTGAAGACAAGCCCTCTGACCATGTATGGAGTGCTTTTCTCTCTCCACTAAGGGACCTTCTGACACAGGTGGGAAGCCTAGCTTGTCACAGGCTGGGGAGGAAAGAGACCGGCCTCAGCCAGGGACTGGCTGGCCCAAAAACTCAAAGAAGCCAAAAAGAGAGCGATTCGGGCCATGCGTCCGTTACCTTAAGGGATGCCGTGTTGCTGCTTTCCGCAGGAGCTGTTGCCGCCTGGCCTGAAGGCATCAAATGTGGCACCTTTGATGAAATCAGGGAAAGGGACCGGTGGGAAAAGAGTTGTGTTCCTCCACTCCCGGCTACCAAACCTCCCCCTCTATCTTGGTTGCAATCACATGGTACAATAAGCCAGAATTTGGGAGGATCCCGGCTTAGTACAAACACGCCACACCCTGGGACATGCAGCCTACCGCAATTGCTGGACACACCAGGGAATGCTTGCTTAGCTTCTCGTCTGAGCTGGGATCCTGGCTTGTTGCTGTCAAACAAGCCAGGAATCATAAATCAAGCTCAGATCATGGTTTGCGATTCTGGCTTGCCAAGGGAGCAAGAGTCCAGGAATTCTAGTTCAGATGGTGTCTTGCACCCAGGGTGGGGTACCGTAGACCTCCGATGAGCCAAGCCCACCCCTGAATTGTCCCCCCAGAAGACTGTGCCCCATTTCTCCCAGTTTATTATATCTTTTTTCCTTCCAAGGAACTCAAGGTACTTGCATAATTCTCCTCCTGCCAATCTTACTCAACAACAACCCTGTGAGGTAGGTTGGGCTGAGGGTCTGTCACTTGAACCCGGATCTTCAGCACCCCGGCCCCGTGCTTTCAACCGCTGCTCCACACTGGCGCGGAGGTTTTGCCAATTGTCTGGGGAGTCCCCACCCCCCCGTTCTAAAGCTTGAGAGGTCTCTCTTAAGGGCTCCCTTAGTGCCAGGAGGAGATTTATTTATTTATTTATTTAGGAGGCTTCTGTGCCGCCCCATTCGCCGAAGCCTCGGGACGGCTCACCGTCACAGGTGGGCAGGCACATTTTCCCGTTGTGCCACCTTCCGTCCCCGTCCCCCGGCAGTGCATCAGGCCTCCATCCCCCAGAAGGGCCCATTATCTCAAGCTTCCCCTGTTTCCCTGCACTGGGGCAGGCCAGGAGCCCAGAGTGGGCTGCACTGGCACAGCACCCCTGCCAAAGCAGCTGGGAGAATCCAGGTTTCTGGAAAGCCGCGCCGTGTGAACACAGCTGGGGCGGCCGCAGCCGGTACATACGCTGGCCCGGAGGCTTCTCCTCCCCTCAGGGTGCAGCTGGGCCTCGCCTGTGGTCCTTCGCGCCTCCTGGGGGTCCGAGGAGCCCCCAAAGGCAATCGTGTCCTTCTGGAAAACAAGGTGACACAAGCAGCATGTTATGCTCAAGGCCCAGGCCTCGGAGACAACTTAAGATCTGAAGCATTTAAAATTGTATTTCTTTCTAGATGAAATGTAGGGCCGTGGGGAAGAGTGAACATTTTAAATGCCAGTGAATGCTGACGCTGGATTAGTGCAATTCTGAGTTCACGCCTGGCGTGAACATCTTTTCAGAAGCTGCATGAATTTTGGCCCTTGGGCTCCTCTAGCCAACGGCACTGGAAGACTTACACTGGTACTCCGGAAGGAGAGGAAAGGAATCAGGGGTCCCTGGTGCTTGACACCTGTTGAAGGAAAGCAGTGTGGAATAGCAAAACATTACTGAGGCTTCCTGGGGCAACGGCTAGTTTAACTAGTCAGTTCCTGTTCGGCATGACTTGGCCCTCCCATTAATCATTTCCCGTTCCACGGTGGTGGGCTGCAGATGGAACCCTCATGCTAACAGAATAAGGGTGAAACAAAGGAGCGGTTCACAGATCTGTTGCACAGGGACCAAAACTGGCCCCCCATTTTGGAGACCCTTGGACAATACCTCCCCAACAAGCCCCTCCATCGACAAGCCCACCTTCGTGTTGCCACCATCTGGGCGAGGGGCTCATCCCTCATCTACCCCCGGCTTGCCTGGCAGATGGAGAGCCCAGAAGCCCGGTCTCTCCCGCTCCACCTCCCCATCACCACGGCCTGGGCCAGGGTGAGACACAGATCGCAAGGCAGGAAAAGACGGGGAGAACTCCGGTGGGCCCTGCTGGGTGTGGGGGCCCGTGGGGGCTGCGCGGCCCTGCCAGCCCTGTCGCATCCTCGACAGAGACACCGCGACGTGGCTCTTACCTTCCAGCGACCGGGCCTTCAGCTCCCCCTTGACCTTCTCCAGTTCCACCCGCAGCATCCGGTTCTGCTTCTCGGCCTCTTGCAGCTGGCTTTGGGACACAGATCCGGGTGGTGGTGGGAGAAATGTTACTTTAGTAGCTAGGGAAAGGCCAGCTTCTAGCGGCAAGAGCTGTGCCCGCCCCGGGATTCTTCAGAGGAGGAGGGTGCAGTGGGTGTGGGTCTTTAAGTGGGTAGGGCAGCTTGGGGGTCAGCCGGTTGGCCAAGCAATCATGCCATCCTGGGCTCGGGATCTCCAGAATGAAGGGATGAACAAGCAAACGAATGAGCCAGGTGGAGGTATTAGGTGTACTGCGGACACCCCGACAGAGGTCAGTCCTCAGTTTTCATGGCCACAGCAGATAGGATCAGAAGGCTGTGGGGCTGCCCGGGGGAGCTGGGGAGGGGGGGGCTCATGACCTCCAAGATCTGTAGGAGCCCTGCTGTAAGCCCCGTTCTTTCTGATTACCTGCGGTTCTCAAATCAGCACCTGGGCAAGGTGTGGAAGGGCTTTGGGCAAGATGCCTTTCTCACTGGCTGTGCCCCCTCCTCCTCTTCCTCCTCCCCCCCTCCAGCAGAGTTACCCCAAGCTGGTCTCGCAGGCACGGAGCCGGGGAACAAGCCAGCCACAGCTTCTGCCCCTCGGGCCGCCCGGGCCAGAGTGAGGGGCAAACCGGAGGGGTGGGGCAGGGGCGCTTGCACTGGACCCTCAGCAGTGCCCGTGCCGTCGGACCCCGGGCACCACAGCCCCACAGTTGGAGCTCTTCTGCCTCCTGCTGCTCCCTGGACGCCCCCGGCCGCCCGCACAGGGGCGCCCTGCTCACCGCTCCACAGCCAGGTGCGCCACCTTCAGCTTGTCGAGCTCCTCCTGAACGCCCTGCTTGGCCCGGATCTCGGCCTCCAGGGCCGACTGCAGCTCCAGCCGGGCCGAAGCGTCCACCTTCTGCAGCCGCCGAGCCTTCCAGAGGGAGTCCTGCAGCGGGAGGCCAGGAGGAACGTCTCCGAGGCGGGGCGGGGCGGGGAGGTGCCGGGGCGGCAGCCTGGGCCAGCCCGGGGCCCCGCCTGCAGCAGCCACAGGGATGTGGGCTGGAAAGGGGGGCATTCAAAATGGGGGACGAGCCCCTTCGCCCAAGGGGGCCCCCTCACCGGAGTTTTCGGCCCAGGACTCTGCACGCCCGTCTGCTTCAGCGCCTCCACTTCCTCCGACATGCGGGCGGCCACAGCCTGCAGGTAGTCCCTGGACTCTTTTTCGTCGCTCACCCTGCGCCAGGAGCAGTGGCTCCGTCAGACAAGATTCTCCGTACCTGGAACCACCCCGCTCTGAAATTTCCCTCTCCTACTTCCGCCCTCGCCTGGAATCAATTCCCACAACCTGGGATTATTCTGACCCACACCCTGAAACAACCAAGACTGATCTGTGCCGTTTGCAAGAGTTCCAGGGCGGCCTGGCCGAGCTCAACTAGCCAAGATGGGGCCAGGTGGACAGAGCCCCCCAGAAGACGTTATTTATTTGAAACGTTTCTACCCTGCCCACCACTGATGTCTCGGTGACTTACAATAAGGAACACATGCAATAAAACAAGCAGAGCATCCGGCAGTTCAAGATAAAACCCCCAGTTAAAAGCAACCGGACATTGCGATGGCGGGGAGAGAAAGAGGGATTTGCCGATGCCGAGAAGAGTCAAGTGTCGGCACCAGGCAAACTCGCTGGGGACTTGACTGTTCGCCTGCCCAGCCTCCTCCTCCCGGAGCCCCCCTTTCCCAAACCAACTGCAAAAGCGCCCTGGGGAAGGACCGTGGACGGTCGTTGCTGAGCTTCCGCCAGCAAAAACGCCGCGACTCCAGCTCGCCGGCAGCGGAGCCTTCCCTGTCGGCGCTCGTTCAGTGGCCCCGGAGAGGCACTCCGCCTATGCTCAGACGCACTCCCGCCTCTGCTGTCGCGCCACGTCGCAGCCCCAGGGGAGGCACGCTGACCACGCACCACTGCAGGATGTTGGCGATCTGCATCTCCCAGTGGGGGGCCGACGCCGCCTTGTCGGTGTCCGGGGCGCCCGGCTCCCGCTCCGGGGGCGGGCTGGCCGGGCCAGGCCAGTCCACCTGCTGTGGGGGCAGGCAGAGAGGGTCACCGCGGGCACAGCATCCCAGGGGCCTGCTCGGCCAGTGGCGCGCCCTCCTCCCACCCCGGCTGCGCTGAGCCGGGCCGAGCTGCTCTCCGAAGGCGGAAAGCTTGAAGGAGCGGGGATGCGCGTCCCGGGGGCCCTGGGAGGGGCAGAGGTCTCTGACATGGGCCGGGAGAGCAGGGGTGTTTTGGGGGGGTGTCCAAGAAGAGGAGGAGGGGAAGCCGAGCCGTGCCCAGTCCCCGACCAGGGTCTGGAGGGACAAGTGCCCAGTTAGGGGGCTTGTGTGGGGCTTGCCAGCTGGCCCTGTGCTAGCGGGATCCGCCTGGGAGGAAGTCTCCCTCTCTCTTTCACACCAGGTTGGATCGACTGTGGAAGGAAAGACCCTGGAAGAAATTTGGAGGGTGAGACCAGGTGTGCTTTTGGAGGTCTGAGATTCAGGATGTGACGCGCAGAACGTCAAATGACCACATGGCGAGGCCTTCGCACAGGGGCCGCTTGCAGCCGTGGGGCCGCAGCTGCCTCCCCCAGCCAGGCGCTCTCCTCAACAGCCGCAGCCCACATGGCCAGGGAACCGGGAGGCGCCCGGAGGGCTGAGGGCGAGAGAGGCTCGCTCTTGTGTCCAGAGAACTGGGGCTGTTTCATTTCGGGCACGGGACGGCCAGACTCCCCGGAGAAGACGGTCGTGCCAGGAAAAGCGGAAGGCAGAAGAAGAGAAGGAAGGCCGGGCGGAGATGGGTGTTCAGAAGTGCCCCAGTGGGGTAGCTGCACCCACACCCACCTGGTCCCCAAGAAGCAGAGCCCTGCGGCTGTCAGGAGGCGGCAGACTGCCCGGTCTCTTGTCCTGCTCCTTCAGATCCGGGCTTTCCCATCTGGGCAGGAAGGGCCATTCGAGAGAGGAGGAGAAAGGCGAGGAGTCACCCCCCGGAGCCCCTTCGTGGAGCGGAGGGGAGAGCCCGGGACACCTGGCTCCCAGCTCTTCATGTGAGCGCAGAACGGGGTGCTTTTCGGAGCCGTGTCTTGTCCCACGAGCTCTCCAGGTTTCTCCTGAAGGCAACCTACTTCCAAACAGGAGCATGGGGAACACTGGCGCTGCGGGAACCGTGGGGAAGGGCTTCGCTGGAAGCCCTGGCATGCCCTGCCCCCAAAGTAGGGGCTCAGGTATGGATCCACCCCAACGGCCAGGCCAGTGGCTTGTGCTCTCCACCCCACAAGTTGCTGGGGAAGCACCGGTCCCTCCCTCAGATCCTATGCGATGGCTCGCAGGGGGCCGCGAAGTCCAGGAGGACGCTGGGCGCTGCGCCCCGCAGGGTCCCGCCCCAGAGGCCGCCAGCAGCGGCCCCTCTCCCGCTCTCCTCACCTCCCCGTCTTGGCCTCCTGCGGCTGCTCCTGCAGCCGGGACACCTGCGCCTGCAGCGCCGCCAACTGCCTCTCCCTCAGCTGCAGCGCCTCCCGCAGGCCGCGCAACTCCTCCTTGGGCGAACAGGTGGCGTCGGCCCCGCGCCTGGAGCCGGAGGCGCGGAAGAGGCCGGCGTTCTGCCTCACCTGCGGGGGCAGCAAAAGCCAGGCGTCGTCACCACCGCCGGGGCCCTGCCCGCCCCCTGCCCCGCGGCCGCACACTCACCCTGAGCTCCTCCAGCTCCTGCCGGCACCTCTTCAGCTGCTGCTCGGCTCGCTCCCTCCCTTTCCGCTGCTTGGACACCTCGCCCACGAGCCCCTCCATCCGGGCCTCCAGCTGCAGGAGGAGAGAGGGCTTCTCTCAGCCTCTCCGGACGCCCCTTCCCAGTCCCGGCTCCTTCCTGGACGTCCTTGAGCCAGGAAGGGGGGGTCCCCCAAGAGGGGACCCGCTTTTTGGAAAGGCCTGGCTTTACAGGTGGGGACTCCGAACGCCGGAAGAGAGTTGCAGCCGAGAAGTGAGCTTCCAGGCCCCCGGGCAGAAGGAGACCCTCCCAGTACCTGCTGCCAGTCCAAGAGCTGCAGGGGGACCAGTTCTGCACTGGGCCCCCTTTCCACTGGCACAGCTGGGACTGCACTTTGGGGAGACCCCACCTTGCCCCAGAGCGAGAAAGACCCCACCTTGCCAAAGAGCAATGTCATCTTCTCGCTAGGGGACCTTGGAGAGAAAAGGATGGAATGAAGCCACGGGGAAGGGAGGGCCGCAAGCTACCTCCTTGCGCCCGCCCTCGGTGCGGGCCAGTTCCTTGCGCAGGCCCTCCACCCGCCGGGCCGCGGCCTCCGTCTCCTCCAGCCGCTCGCGCAGCAGCCGGGAATGGCGCAGCAGCTGCGCCTGCAGCTCTCCGCACTTGGCCTCCGCGCTCTGCAGCTCCTCGGCCGTCTCCTTCTGGCGGTGCTGCTCCTCCTGCAGCTCCCAGGCCTGTGCCTGAAGCTGCTCCTGCACCCGGGCCAGCTCCTGGGGCAAAGCAGACGCCACGGGGCGGTGGGTCGCCGTCCAGGGGCAGCTGCGACGGGCTGCTAACGGCGGACGGGCACCAACCGGCTCGAGGCTGGCTCTTCCGACCATGCGCCATCTCTGCTTTCTGCCAACAGCGCGGGGACGTCCTGCTCCTGGTTGCTCCATGACTGGGTTGAACAGCCCGGAGGCCCCCCAGGGTGCTTCTGGGCTGTTGACTGGAAGTGGAAGTGGGCAGCAGGTGGGAAGGGCCCCCCAGTTCCCGGACTGAGAGTGGCCACAACACGAGCGGCGATGGGCTGCAGGTCCTGCTCGGTGCCTTCCAAGCAGGGATGAGACGGGCTCCCGTCTTCAGACCTTGCACTTCCCCCAGTCTTGCCCACGCCCTCCTTGGTGGCCCCTGTTGCCACATGGGGCTCAGCTGCTGCTGGCACTCACTTCCTCCCTCCGCCCCGTTCCTGAATTAAATGGCTGAGCAACTGGCCACGAGGGGAGACCCACCCGATGGATGACCTCATGGGACCCCTCGCGGCAGGTACCTGGAGAGCTTCGCTCTTCTCCTGCGTCAGAGACTTCACACGCTCCTCCAGGGACTTCACTTGGCCCGAGGCGGCTCTGTCCAGGTGCAGCTTTTGCATCTTGTCGCTCTCCAGCTGGTTCTCTGGCAGCAGGGAGAGGAGGAGAGTTCGGAGTCCCGGCAGGTACTTCGGAGCCGCTCCGCCAACGCTTGCCCTCCGTCGTCCCCCCTCCAAGCCCAGCTTCTCCGCCCCTCCAAGCAGGGCGATTCACTACTGTTAAAATGGCGTCTTCCCCCCACAACAGAACGCCTGCGTTGCGTGGCAATGATTTTGTGACATTCCAAAGCCTGACACACTTTTATGCCCAGAATGGACCTGGCTTGATTCAGAGGGAAATCATCCCACTGGGCATTCCTTGGAATGCACGCAGCTCCCAACGTCAGTTTCCAAAATGGAAAAGGACCCATCCCTCATTATTCACTGGTCTGGAAAATGTACTTTGCATATGATCAGGTTACTCAGCCCTTTATGAGATGTCCCAAGATACATGAGGGCTAGCATCTTTCTACGCTGGCTTAGTAGAAAGGGGCAGCTGGCTCATTTTAGCCACAGGCTCCAATGCCTTGAGGGTCTTATATTGCCCTTTCCAAAGAAAGAGAAAATTTGAGCTCGGCCAGCACGGCGTTCCGTCCTTTTCTTGTACCAGCTGCGATGGGAAAAGCATGGAAGGGGCCTCGGCCTGGTTGCGAAGGCCCGGAAATCCCCAGTTATCTCCAACCGCTAACTGGAGATAACGAAAGGAGGGCCTTCCAGCGTACAAGGTAACCCCCTAGTTCTCATGGGGGAGGCCACAAGGTGGGGAGAGGCCTGGAGGCCGGATTGGGAAAGCGAGCCACCCTCTCCTGCCCCCCGAACGGCCGCAGCAGGCGCATCTTTGGTGCCCGGCTGCAAATCCCTCAGGAGGGGCTCTCTCGCACCCAGGGCACGCCTGCCCACACCTACCCAGCGCCTGCTTCCGCGGGGCGGCCGCCTTGCTCTCCGCGTCCTTGGGCGCAGTCTGGGAAGGGGGTCTCGCCAGGGCATCTGTGCGGGTTGCAAGAAGAACAGAAGCACAGCCCTGCTGGGCCAGCGCGAAGGGGAAGCCCACACGCCACAGCAGTCTCCCAGCACGCCGGGCCTGGGGCCGGCATGAAAGGATCCTACTCAACGGCGTCAGAAGCCCAGGGGTGCTCCTGTCCGCTTTGCAAGTGCACGCTGGTTTTTAAACGACTACTTGCACCGCGGAGGTGAAGGGAGGACCGGGCCGGGCCCTCCGTGGGCGCCAAGGGCTCCGCGAGCGCCTTCCTTTCCCGTCCCGATCGCCCTCCTTCTGAGGCGGCTACTTGGGTGTTTTCAAAACAACAACAAACGTAGTCATGACTTTGCTACGATCAGCGTTTTGGCCCTCAGAGATCAGAGGCGCAACCACAGCAGAGGGTTAGGCTGCTCAAAGGCACACGGTGCCACGGGGTCGGGCACGACGGGGGGGGGGGGGGGGGGGGCAGATGCAGCCTCGGCCTGACGACGCGGCTGGAGAGATCCGAATGCCACCCGAGGGGCAGAATGAGGGCGGAGGGCCAGAGGCAGGACCCTTCGCCCCGGTGTGGGACCAGCGCCCCCTCAGGAGTGGGGTACCTTGCAGCTTGCGGCTCAGCTCCAGCTTCTCCCGTTCCAGGAGGCGGATCCGCTTCTCAAGCCGCGCGGTGCCGGAGTTGTCGGAGGGGGAGGCGGGGGCCTTCTCGGGGCAGGGGCTGCGGGGAAAGCGAGAGGCGGAGGGCTCAGGGCTCAGCGCGAAGGCCGTGGGCTCCCCAGAAACGGCATGAGCAGTGCGATTACCAGGGGCCTCGTCCCTGTCCTACCGAAGAGACAGCGTGGAGTAGTGGTGAGAGCTGGGGTCCAATGACCCACAAAACCTTCCCTGGAGCCCCCATGGCCTCCCCCATGTTGATTCTATGCAATCCCATTTTTATGTCTAATGTTAAAAGAGCCAGCCCAGAGCTGATCTCGTCCAGAAGCCTGGACTCAGCATAGCCAGCCAGCCACACACAGGAAACCTGCCAGCAAGGCCAGCAAGCAACAGCTTCCTCCCATCCACCCTCGGGGATTTACTGCCCAATCCTGGAGGCAGCAGAGCGCCATGAGGACTAGTAGCCCTCGTCCATGAATTTACCTAATCCCCTTTAAAGCTGCCCAAATTGGTCACCATCCCTAAATCTTGTGCAAGTAAATTCCATCATTTCTGGCTGTCCTTGCAGGGTTTCCTCTGTAGTTTTCAGAGCACAGGTGTATTCTCTTCTGTTTTTAAATTTCTGGAGTGTGTGGGGGGTGGGAAACTTGGGAGGGTGGGGGCTGCACTGGACTCCTGGCAGCCCGGGGGGGGGGGGTCACACCCCTGCCCAGCAGCCACAGCTGGACTCAGCGGCAAATGGCATTCCGAGCAGAGCGATGTGCCCCCTGGCCTGCCAGATCGCAGAACCTCTGGGGATCCGGCTGCCACCTGTGGCTTGGTGCACCTATGAAGGCTGAGGACCTCCCCTCATGCAACTCTCCCCAGGAGCACCTGTGTCCTTAAAGGAAACACACACAGGGGAGGCAGCGCCGTCCCTTCACACAACCGTGAGGAAAACCCAGGCGGATTGCAAAGGGGTCCGAACACGCGGGTCAACGCCAAAGCTGTACTCACATCCCCGAAGTGAAGGTAAATCCAACGAAAGGTAAGTGGTGACCGGAGAAGGCGGCATGCGACACAGGTGGGAGCATCTCCTGAAAGCGGGGAGGTACACGGAGATGAACTTGGGAGGGGGGCTGTTCCGGCAAGGAGGGACAGCAGCCGCCCCGAAAACTTTGGGGCTTGGGTTGGGAGCTCCGGGCAGCCAATGCAGCAGCCCGGCTTGGTGCCCTTCGGCAAACGCTGAGTGTTACGCCCGCCAGCCTTCGGGGCCTGCGCCACGGACGCCCTCGCGAGCCGCGTCGCGCTGAGCCAGAGCCTGGGTCCATTGACCCCAGTATGGCCGACACGGGCCGGCAGCAGCGGCTGCTCATAGGCAGGGTGCCCGGTCAGCCTGCTCAGCCCCTGAGCCGCATCCCCTCTGGCCGGATTGCGACAGTGACGCGCTCCTGAGGTCTCCCAGCAAGCACTGTGTGTGAAGCCATCCTGCGGGGCTGCAGCCAGCCATGCCCTCTTACGGGATACTCCGTTCCGCACCTCCCCTTCCCCAGGCAGGCACTCGGGGTTCTGTGGCCGCCCCACGCTCCAGTCCTCAAGCGTTTTGGGGCCACTTAGAGTTTTGTCCTGCAAACGCTCGGCGCACACGTTTCTTCCTCGGACTCTGCTGAAACGACCTCCTTGTGCTGTTGGGCTACGCAAATAGCTGCCCGCACCCCCAGTCACTGCTCACAGAGGGAAGTGCGCCCCCCAAACGTACGCGTTGGCCCCCTCACCGATTCGCTGAGCACGTCGTCACCCACGTCGAAGTTGGAGGTGTCCGCCGGGCTGGCCACCTCGGGCAGGAAGGGGGGGGTGCTTTGCCGGATGTGGTCCCAGTCGATGCCCTGGAAGAAGGGGTGCCGCCTGAAGTCCTCGATGCCGTTCTGGCCCAGGCGCAGCTCCTGCCGGCACAGCAGCCCCTGGATGAGGCCCTTGGCGCTGTCCGAGACGTCCGTGATCTCCGGCGGGAACTGCAGGTGGTCCTGGTGGGAAAGCGCCCGGTCTTCTGAGACCTTGGGCTCCAGAGCTTCGGCTGGCCTGGTGCCGTCCCGCTCGGAAGCTCCAACACCCATTTGAGCCTCCATGACCCTGCTGCCCGCCCCCCCCCCCCCGGACTTACAACGGCTTCCGCATCCCTGGGAGTGTTAGAGCAAGGACCCTTCTGAGAGCTTTGGCTAAAGGACGGGATAGAAAAGCTTTATCTGCGTAAATAACAAACAACCCCGACCGCCGTTTGCCAGCTCCATTCCGCGCTCCGGCCAGTTCTAAGTTCTGACAACAGCAGAAAAACTACAAACCCGCTTGGTCACCCTGACTTGGGAGGAAAGCAAAACTCTGAGCATGTGCAGATCTGCGTTTCGGATGCAGTTGTGCAGCACCGTGCCTACCTGAACAAAACGGAGCTCGCTTCAGCTGCCCTCATACTAAATAAATTTTCTGGTCCTGGTCCATCCTGCTCATGCCAGGAGCTAAACTGCCCCACTGATTCAACACAATCACCCCCATGAAAAGAAAAGCGTCTATTTTTTCCTGATCTCCGTCTACAGTATGAAAGCTACATCAGCTGCCTTCCTATCTCACCTCTTCCTCCACAGACCCCAGGAAGCCTAAACGAGCCTTCTCCACGTTTCCGTTTCAACACTCACAACAACCCTGTGAGGTAGGCCAGGCTGTGAGAGTCAGCGACCCACCCAAAGCCGGCTAGTGAGCTGGATTAAAACCCAGGCCTGATCCAACACACCAGCTCGGGGCTGGAAACACACGGTCTGGGGAAAATCTATCCGCACCCCCTGCTGCAGCTCCCTGTTCCTCCCATTTTAAAAAATTAAAAACAAAAGAGCTCCCCAGACTTCTGCTGTTCTGATGCGCTTTGGCCCCTGCTCTGCCTCCTGGCCTGGCAGGGGAACGCGCCCACCTTGGCCACAGCCCCCCGTTCCTCTGCCACGCGCACCTCGTGGTTCATGATCTTCCCGTAGGTCTCCACCAGGGATTCCGCGTAGAAGGGGGTCTCCCCGAAAAGCAGCTCATACATGCAGACCCCCAGCGACCACCAGTCGCACTCTGGGCCGTATTTGCCCTTTCTGTCCTCCATGGCTTGCAGGATCTCTGGAGAAATGTAGTCGGGGGTCCCAACAGCTACCGAAGACTCCACCTGCGTGGGGGGAACCACAGGCGAACTCGGATCCCACGTCCCACGTGGCCTGCGCCACCGTTCGCATCGCCCCCTCCAGCAGAGTGGACCCCTGGCTCGGGCAAGGGAGGCAAGCCCCCACGCTTCTGTGGGGCGAGAGGGCAGCCTCCATGAGCCCCACGGCCGGAGGGTTCCACGCTTGCTTCCTTTTCTCCACACCTCTCCAAATGGTACCTGCATTTCCAATGTGCCTTTTAAGAATGGAGGCATACAAATGCGGGGTGTTTAGGTTGGAACAGCTACACCCATGCATGCAAGAAAAATGCCTGGTTTCATTTGGAGGATCACAGGTTCGGGCAGAAAAGGAGCTTTCCAAATCTGGACTGGGCCGCAGACGGACGGCTCAGTCTGCCCGCTCCCACCCGCAGGGCCACGCAGCCCGTCCGGCTCACCGTGCCATCCGGACGCAGGCGCAGGCACGACCCGAAGTCAGCCAGGCGGATGTGCCCATTGGTGTCGAGGAGGATGTTGTCCGGCTTGATGTCCCTGTGGAGTGGGGGCAACGGGCTCAGCACTGGGGGGCACAGGCGTGGGCGGCGCTTCCGACTGGGACTTTTGGGCTGGGCCGGAAAGAACACGGAGGCACATGGCCCAGTGTTCATGCCAACATGTGCTGCCTGCAGAGCGCGCCCAAAGCATGCGCAATTCTGCCGTTTGAATCTGCTCCAGAGTTTGTTTCTTTTGTGGGTTTGTGTGCATGTGTAAAAGGCCCTTTTGGAGGATACGCTTCTTCGAAATAAGGAATGTGAGGACAGGGGGAAAGGAGCATGTTTTATAGAAACAGAGCGAGTCAGAAGCGGCCTCCCGGGTCATCTAGTCGGACCCCCGGCTCCAGCCGGCTGCGCTCACGACATGCCCGCCATGTGCATTATCTGAGAAAATAAACTCTGGTAAAAGGATTCCAGGGGCCACAGCCACACGTGGGCCAAAAGCCAGTGGGACCAGGGCAGCAGGGGACCCTCAGGGCACCAACTGAAACCTTCAGGGCTCCAGCCCTTGCAAGAGAGTCCCTTGCTCTGCCCCGAGTCTGGCAAATAAGCGCAGGGGCTGCCACCCCTAGAGGACCCCTCTTCCAACTCCCCTTCCTGGACACTGCAGGCGGGTTCTGGGGCCTCCGTCCCACGGCCACCTGCAAGGGAGCTTGGGCGGGGGCAACGGGGGAAGGCCCCCCAGTTATGAAATGTTGCCATCTTTTTGGCACCAGGTAGAGACCATCCTCTATTGCAGGGCATTTATATACTTAGGGTTGGGATCAAGTTTTTTTTCTGTTTTAAAAAGAGCTTTGGCTATTGGGTGGTACAGAAATAAAAATGAATAAATACATGATTCACACACACACACACACACACACACACACACACACACATGGTCAGACATGGACCTACAGGGCTGTTTGGCCTGAGTATCCACTGGCAACAAGAACAGTTTTTTTCCCTTCAGCATAATTTCCTTTGGAGCTGATTTTCAGGACTGGCTACAGCTGGGGAAGGAAGGGTTAACTCTGCAAGCCTGACAATTAAGGGACAATTAAGCTGAAAGAAAGAAAGCAAAAAAATAAAAAAAAAAATAAAATAAAAAATAAAAATCACATTTTCTGTTGCTTTGGGATGACCTGGATCACAGTGCAAAGGCGCTGAAGGTTCGTTTCATTTGAGACAATTTGGATGGGAGATTAATCATCTGGTCCTGCCACCGGTGGAATTTAACACATCCTAGCAATTATTTCAAAATTTGTATACACGCTCTGGCATCCCCACATGCGTGGCCTGGAGCCTGAATCATGGCTGCAACTGGCAACGCTTCTGCCTAGAGACACCTCTGCGGCATTCACACAACACGGCAAGCCGCTCTGTCTTCCCGCAGCCTGCAGTTCTGCACCATGATCTACCTGACAGACGATCGTGTTTCCATCATCCCCTCTTAGTCTCCCCACTGTTGGCACATATCCCATCAGCCACTGCAGCTGAAATCTACTCCCAAGATGCATCTCTCCCTGCCTATGTCACCTGCCTGTTCCGCACTGGTCTGCACATAGAGGCTGGAGGGCTGGAGCGGCCCCTGCAGCTGCCGCTCTTTCCAGGAGACTCCGTGGTGGGTGCACGCCGGGTTCAGACAACACGACAAGCCACGGTGGTATGGAGAAACCACAGAGCAAACCATTGTTTCTCAGCATGGTTCTAAAGACCAAACTTACCACCGTGAGATACCACGAGTGGGTTCAGATGATACAACAGACCAGCGATGGCAAGCGGCCACCGTGGCTTTTCGTGTTGTCTGAACCCAGCCCACGAGTACCTGTGATTCCTCCCCTTGCTCATTACCCTTTGCACTGCTCCCCTCTTGGGAGTTCCTTACCTGTGGACGTACTGGAGCCGGTGGAGAGAGTCAATGGCCATGACCATCTCGGCCAAGTAGAAGCAGGCCATGTCCTCGGGCAGGCGGTCCTCGAACTTGCTGAGGAGCGTAAGCAGGTCTCCCCCTGCATAGTAGTCCATGACGAGGTACTGCCAAAAGAAACAGCAAGCTAGAATATCCCCGGAGGGGCTGACTGGAAAGCCTTGCGGGGCTGACTGGGTGATCAGAACGCAGCAGGGCTAGTAAGCCATGGCCCGTTAACCACAAACAACCCATGAAGAGAGGCCACGGTTTGTTGTTGGGCTATGAACTGAGGGCTGCTCACCACGGTTAGTTCCCCGGGCTGGGTTCAGACAACCCGCGTTCCAGCAGCAAGCCACGGTTCAACACCGGAGTCTGGGTCAGTGTGTTGTCAGAACCCAGCCCTTCCCTTCCCTTCCTCCTTCCCAGGGGTGTTCTTCTCCTTCGTTTCCTCCAGGGTCCAAGAGAAACCATCCCCGGTTGCATAATTCTCGGAGCCTGTGGCGATGGTGTGCCTGGAGAGCTTACCAGATAGTGATCGTCCTGGAAAGCGTAGTGCAAGGTTGTGATCCATTGTCTGTCCCCGTGAACCAGCACGTCACGCTCCTCCCGGAAGCAAGCGGTCTGAAAGCGGGCAGGAAAAGCAAACCCTGCTGAGCCGGACCCTCCCCTCAGCCTACCCCACTGCCTCCGGCAGAGGACAGCTCGATACGCCTGGGAAGCTCACAAGCCAAGGTGGAGGCCCGTGACCCTCCACGAATGGCTGTGTGTCCCCCAGCCCATCAGCTCGGAAGGAAAACCTCACTCAGTCTGGGGGCCGGACATTCCCAGCAGCCACACGCCGAGGCTGGAACTGCCCACCCAAAATTAACTTCATGGTCATACAGGCGTGAATTAAGGCAGATGTCATCTGTTCCCAGGAAACCGCCCACTCTGCTGGCTGGGGATGCTGAGCACTGTAGCACCGGAGGAAGGCTGCGAACACCAGGGGACCGATTCTGCGGGGCTGTGGTGCCCCCGGACCACCCGCCACCAGCTCCGGCCCCACCAGCCCCGGCGGCTCCCCCTCGGCCGCCAGTGGGCCCTCCCGGCCCCCAAGGGCTCGCGGGGCTTGGCCGGTTCCCGGAGGGGCCGACGCACCTCTGCCCGCTCCAGCATCTTCCTTTTGTGCAGCACCTTCATGGCGTAGACCTCCTCCGTCCCCTTCATCCTCACGACCGCCACCTAAGGGGCAGAGCGCAGGTGATCCTCTCCTCCTCCTCAGCCAAAGCTCTCTGGGAGGTTTACAGCAGTACATAAAAACAAGCCAAGAAAATGCCATGCCATCTCGTCGCAAACAGAAACAAATTAAACCCCAAAATTAAAAGCAGCCGAAACCAGAAAAAACCGCCCCTTCTCCGTCTTCCTCTGCGGAGGCCTCCCAGCAACCCTCCGTACCAGAGTCGGGGACACCTCGTCCCCCTCGTGGGACAGAAGGAGAGGCCCCCAAACGCTGCGGTCTGGGGTAGTCCCGGGACCGGCCGAGGGCACTCACCTCCCCGAACGCTCCTCTCCCGATCACCTTCAAGATCTCGAAGTCTTCTCGCCGGAGGGAGAGCTGCTTTACCTTTGCGACGAATGGAGAGGCTGCGGGGACAGGGAGAGAGATCCCACCGATGGCGTCGCGTGACCACTTGGCCGTGCCCGCGTGCCAAGCCAAGGTCGTGAGCCCAGGAGCCGGCAAACCTCTCGCGCCCGCGGGCCTATTTGCCCTTTCCCTGGCTCTTCCCTGAAAACTTCCTGATTTCTCTCCCCACCCCGAAATCTGATTTTTCCTGGGGTTCTGGTTCAGAACTTTTGCCTCGCCTCTGCCAACGACTGCGTGGAGCAATCGCTGCATTGGCGTCGCTAAGACTGGGGAGAAGAGTCCCCTCGTGAAAAGGGGGTGACGTGGGATGAAGCTCCCCCCTCCCCCCGAGGTCCCTGTCACCCCAAAGGTCCCTTTTGTCTCTGGAGGGGCTTTTTCTCCAGCAGGCCGTTCTCAGTGGGGCATCCTTTTTGCTCCATCGACAGCAAGTGCGGACCTGGAGTTTCAGGCTGCCATCAGGATGGGAGGAAACCCCCCCATCAGTGGCTGGGGGAAGAGGGAAAGCCGGGAGAGGGGGCACCCAATTGGGATGCCCCCCAGACCCGACATTCCCCCTGCCCCACCTGCCACTCGGTGGGATGCTCCAAGCTGGGTTATCATTGTTTTCCTACGCAAGGAAGCAACCACGGAACCGGCCCAGCCCGGCCCGCGGGGCCATCGCTTCTTCAAGGCCACGAAGGGAAGCAGAATGCCACTCCGTCGATTCACACCTGCCTCGCTCTAACCACTATCTCTCCCACCTCCGAAATCTGGAGCCCGGCCAACCACACGCCTTCCTCTGGGGCACTCCCAGGAGAGGGCAGGAGGAGGCAGCGGGGGAGAGCCGGTTGTTCTCGCACTGCGGTTTAAAGCCGCGGTAGCCCGACGTGCTTCCCGGCCTCACTGCCTGCCCCGCTCGGTGCCCGGGTGGGGCCTGCGTGCCCCGTCGTGCCAGGCTTGGCAGCCCTGCTCCGCGGGGCCCCACCTCTCCCTGCGAGGGCCGCAGCCTCTCCAAGCACGGGGCAGGGCGGCTGGGCACGAGAAGGGGTGCAGGGATAGGGGTGGGGCGATCCGGCACCCCCTCTTCCCACTAGCTGAGTGAAAGATTTGGTCACCAGATATGGATCCGAGCCTCCGCCTCTCTCCTTCCTGCTCTTCTCCTTCCAAAAAAATTGCTTTCCCAAGCTGAAAAGGAATCAAGCTGTGTGATGCGGCTGCAAAACGAGCAAATGCAATTTTAGGTTGCTTCAGTAGGAGAATAATTCAAAAACACTGGAAGGAAGGAGGGGTTCTGCTCCTCGCTGCTCAAACCGCAGCTCCAGTTTTGGACGCCCCACCAAGCGAAAGCTCAGATGAACTGGAACGCGTCCAGGGAAGGGGACTGAGGACTGGGGACGGCAAACGAGGAGGGAAGCTGGAAGGAACAGTGTCTGCGCAACCTAGAGAAGAGAATCTGGGTCAGCGGGCAGGATAGCTAAAAGGGTCCCCTGCTCTCCGCCATCCAGGCCCACAGGGCACGAGATAAGAGGCTGCAGAGGTGTTGGCTGAGTATCAGCAAAACCCCGCTAGGGATCAAAGCTGTCCGAGAATTGAAGCAACAGCCCGGAGAAATGGTGAGCTTCCTGCCACAGAAGGTCTTTGCGCGGATTCCAGACATGCTAGAAATACTGGGTTCAGGCCTTGAATGGCCCCTTACGACTTTAGGATTTCATGGTTTCTAGTCCACATGGTTACTGCCTGGTGGCGTGAGAGCAGCAGTGGGGAGTGAGCCGGGAGGCCGCAAAACCAAAGATCCATCCTGCAAGTTTGGAGACTGTGTATCCATGCTTCTGGGGAGCTGAGAACAAACGATCCAGAGTCAACCGCTTTATGGAGGGGTTTGATTTGCATAAATAAATCTTGGGGATCAGACAGCGGTGGTGGACGAGCTGATGGCAAACGGGGGAGCGAAACACCAAACATGCTTAGCATATTTAAATCTAAAGCTTTCACATCCAGGAACTGAGTCTTTGGAGAGGCAATCTAACTTTCTGGAAACCCCCACCTAGTAAAAACAGAATAAGTTTCACAGTTGTAACAGTTTTATTTGATTTAGCTTCACTCTTAATTACATTTATTGTTTCAAGCTTCCTCCAGAAATTATAGGATGGCTTGGAACAGCAGTTCCCAACCTTTTCTTCACTTGCAAGCCCATCTCCAAATATGAGGGGCACGCCCTCACCATTCAGCAAAATAAACAGAAAGCAAAGGAACGGGGCTTTTCTTGAGGTTAAACCATGAAGAAAACTTGCTCTGCCTCTCGTCATAACATTCAATTAATTTCATGACCTTTGTCTCTTGCCTTGCACTGTTTGACACAGGTGCCTTTTCCAGCCATTATTCAATCTGGTTTGTGTACCCATAAATGCCCTGGTTCATACCCCTGGGGGTGTGCGTACCCCAGGCTGGGAATCATTCGCTAGGAAGTTTGGTTAACGAGTAATAATTTCTAAGCACGGACACATTTAGATCCTTCCTGTTTTAATTCTGCAGAGCTCTGTTAACGGACTTCATACTTCCAGTCCTCCGGCTGATCTTGCTGCGTTTACAGGTCCGGAAAGTGAAGTTTTCTAGAACATAAATGTCCAGTCAGTGTGGAAAGACTGGGGAACTGAGCTCCTTGCGTTGAAGGTAGCCAAAGGGAGATCCCTTTCTTTCATTCCTCAAAGCATAGCCCCATCATCAGGTGGAGGTTTTTGTTTTGGTTTGTTTGTTTTTTTAATACAAAGACACCCTGATTTCTGGGCATCGCATGTGATAGAAGCAGATCCCCCCCTAAAACTGCATAAATAATTTCGGGCAACAGCTACTCATCATGGCTAGGCTACTGAAAAGCCTTCTTCGTGGGGCTCCCCTTGGAGATTGTCTTGAAGCTTCAGACTGCCTAGGATCAAGGCTCTTTGGGAGACACTTTCTTGCTCCCAAACTTCGCAATTCAATTAAACACTTTCCATTGTTACATAGTAAGGGCTTTTTTCTGACACATTTTACTTTGGTGTCTTGAACTTGATGTACTGTTGGTAAAATAGTGGTGTTTGCCGAAGGCCCTTTCGATGCAGAATATTCTCCCAGGCCCATCTTCTCTTCTCAGTCTCGATTTTCACCTTCCTCGGCCTACATCCAGGGTGGAGTATTTTGCAAATCAGCGCTATCCAAGCTTACAGACTGGTGGCCGAACTGTTTTCTTGCAGTTTGCATTTCCTGCATGGCTGCCTGTTTCGGTTATTTTCTTCTACTGAAAGTGCCAATAATTTGGCACGGACAACAATATTTAAAGAGACCTCCACCGATCGGGCGGAAAATCCTCTGTGTGTTTGTGTGTGTGTAGACAACTCCCAGGAGGCATTTGGAGCAAGCGCTGGGAAAAGCAGGATCTGGCAGTAGGAGAACCGATCCCCGCCTGGCCTGGAGGTGCAGCTGTTTCGGCGAGCTGCTCTCCGTTCCCAAGCAGTCTCCCATCTAAGCTCCACAGAGGAAAACCAGGGCTGGGGCTCAGACATGCCCGGCAGAACTGGTGGGACCGCATTCCACGCATGGCAAGGAGGGTGGGGACCGTACCGGGTCTGCACCCCACACCCTGCACTAGACAGGCAGTCCCTTCGCAGGGGTCACTGCCCTGGCGTCCCCGTGGCCCCAATCCCTCCTCACACACAAAGCTCCTATTCATTGCTGCTCCCATATTGCGTGGAAATGGCCCGAAAGCACATTTCTGCAAGCAAAGGTTCAGCAGAGACAAAGCAAAACCACCGTTTTTGAAAAGAAGGGGATAGGTATACGCACTGCCTGAGGAGCAAGGACTGTATCCCAGTGGTACAGCCCCTGCTTTGCATGGCAAAAGATGCAGGCTTGAACCCAGCCGCCTAGGGAAGGCATGGAAAGCAGCTGGACAAATTGCAGATAGTTAGTCATCAACCGGATAGCGTCACATTGTTTAATCCACCTTCCTACATTCCTACCTAAAACAACCATGAGGACTAGAATCTTACTTTGTGTTTAAAGAAAAATCAGAAGGCACAGCACTTATACTGTTGTACTGGAATCTGGGAGATCCGAGTTCCAGTCTCCACTTAGCCATGAAACTCACTGGGTGGCTTTGGGGTCAGGTCTCTCCCTCTCTGCCTAACTTACTTACTTTGCAGGGTTGCTCTGAGGACAGCGCAGAAAGGAGGATTAAGTGAATTGCTTTGGGATCTTTGTGAGAAAAAGGGTGGGGCGTACATATAATACATAAATAAAACTCAGCGAGCTGAAGGAGCTGCTAAGCCTACATTTTCGCTGCCCTCTCAACGGGTTGCTGAACGCCCCCTTCCCTTCTCCTGCAACGGGTGCCGCTGCTCGCTTGATGGGCAAAGAGCTCGGGGACCAGGGCAAGGGGCACCCCGGTCCTGCCGGGGAACTGACCCTCGGCATGTTTCAGCTCCCCCGGAAGATTCCCGCAACTCCCAAATATGTGATCGCGCCAGGCAAATTGGCCGTGGACCGCAGCAGCAGAAACAGCCCAAATTATGGAAAAGGAGACAAGGAATAGTTCGAACAACGGATCCAGTCTGTGGAAACGCACTTCTCTTTGCATGGAAAG